CTTCATTTAAGAACAGCTATTCTAACACATATCCTCAAAAGCTAACGGATGGGGAAGTGGATGATATGAATGACAGCAAAAATATTAACAGAAATGGCGACAGAGATGCATGGAATTTGTTTACCATCAGTCAATTGAAGGTTAAACTTTAAAACAATGTTGGTCGTTCCCATGGAATATTTTTGACTTTAATGGTATTAGTCATGATATGAATCTCAAGGTATGAACGAGGAGAGATGAGAGACTTATATGCTTCCCAAATTTCTTCAAAAGGTAATGTTATACCTGACTGTTTCCAAATGAGTTCAATATCATAACGTGAGAAACCTTGAAAGATAACGAAGTCAGTTATGAGACGTTTTATGTTTAAAGCAAGGAAACGCCATGTTTGCATAAGTATTGCTACAGTTAAATGGTAATGTCTGACTTTAGTAATGATGTTAGCTAATGGTGAGTCAGGCTTTGACACTAAACCTTTTCCGGCGAAGTCGTCACAAACGAGCAGAGTGTTTGAAGGATACTTTTTGAAGGGGTATTTTGAAAGTTTTGACAGAATGTAGTTTGTCAGTCGTTTCATATCGTAAACTCCTGAGTATTGACGTAAGTGGTGTTTGTCAATAATTCTTTCCATCTCTTCTGAAGTCTTTTGCATTCCTGACTGTATGAACTCTACAATAGCATAATATTTCCTCTTACGTCGAATGTAACGTTGAAGAAATTCAATGAGTTCACTGTCTGGAACTTTAACGACAGATGCTTGAACTTTACTCATGAATGTTTTCGCTGTTGAGTCCATAGAGTCTGAAGTTGCTGATATAATGATTTGGTCATAGTAAGAGTCGTTTCCTAAACGCTCTGTTATGAGTATATGACGAATGAGGTTAAATGTCTTACCTGAACCCATCTTTCCACAATAGAAATACACACCATTTGAACAGAATTCATAGTCCTTACTGAAAGGAAGAATGAGAGAAGAGTTAAGTTTGTCTGTAGTTTCATTCATGTCTTCATCTACGTCATGTATTAAATGCTTCATTTTATCTCCATTAAAAATGCAAGTCAGAAATATTCAGAACATAGCACCGAGTCTAACTGACAAGAGTATAAAGATATACTATGAACATGTTATGATGAAACCAACCAAAATTCAAGAAAGTCAGTATACTTATGAATATCCAAGACACTGGGTAGAGTATGTAGGAGGTGAGAAAGCTATTGAAATAAGACAAGTTAGAAGTATTCCAGCAGGAAGGACAATATTATTGAAGAACTTTAATGTTTTAAGATATAATGATGAAACAAAGAAGCAAGATAGTTTTCCTGTTGCTGTGTATGTGAACTTAGATACAGGAGATGACATGAAAGTTTTTAACACAAAGCTTCAAACGGTAGTGAGAGAACAACTGACTGCGGAAGGACATCCATTACCTTCAGAAGTTACCATAGTATATAATTTTGAAACAAATGCAATAGATTTTAAAGTCGTCTCTGCAAAGAAGTCAGGTTTTACATTTAATGAAGCAGATGTATATTCGAATGAAAACTTCAAAGCTATTGCATGGTTAGATAATGACGATTGCTTTAAGAAATATTTAAATTCAGTGACTCAAAGATGTCAATAGATGACCTTCGTGGAATGTTACCATCGACGTTTACAGTAGAAGGTTCAGCAGGATTGCTTACAAGATTGTCAATTGGTGGTATTTGGTCTCGTGAGAACATTGTTATAAAATCCAGTATAAGTGAATTTGCTGAAGAATCTATATTATGTCTTTCAAACTACATGTATTCGCCGCCGAAGCATTATAGTATAACAAACTTTGTCAGTAAGTTTAACATAAGACTTGTCGAACCTTCTTCAATGAAAGATGTTGTGCTACCTAAAGACGGAAAGGATGGACTCATTATTGAGATGATTTTAATAGCATATTAAATGAGCTTGTTCTTGAAGGTCATTCATGATGAAATAACTGTTGTAGAAGATGTTAGCAATTGTTCAGACATTTTGAAGCGTATAGATGAGATAAGAAAGAAGTTTATGAAGCCGCAACGCGGCGAGGACGAAGTCCATGAGAATGTTTATGTTTCATTGACTTTCTCCAGTAACGAGAACTTTTATGAGATAATATTGAAGAGAGATGATTTTAATATGGTGTAAATGGTAGCTTGGGCAGCTTTAGGCGCAATGGGAACAAAAGCATTAGCATTTGGAGCAAAAGCACTTGGAGCTTATGACGCAGTAAATAAAATGAGTGGAGGAAGGGTTTCGAAGACATTAGATGCAAATAAAGGGAAGATTGGAGGCTGGGTTGCAAAGAAGTTAAGATTAAATAAAATAGGGCTCATAAATAAAGCATCCAATTTGGTTGCGACTGAGTCAGAAAATGCTTTAGGAAAGGACGATGAGTTTGCAAAACATGCAAAAGACTTTAATGACCAGATGAAAGGTGAAACAATGCATTTAAATAGAGTCGATGGAACTAAAGAAAATGTTTCTTCTCCACCAGCAGTTCTTCCGTATGGTCCCTATGGAATGTATGGAAATCCTTACGAAAGACCATTTGACCCATTGACTGGTGGAAGTAACTGGTATCATTACGGACGAAGAAGAAAGACAGTCAAGTTGGAGACAGACGTGAAGAAAGCAACTAAAAAGAAACCAAGGAAGAGAGTTATAAAGTAATGAATTCATGAGGTGAAAAAAGAGGTGAAAAAAGAGGTGAGATTTCACCACTTCACCTAAATTTATTTTTGCGCTATGTTTTCATACGTGTGAGGGTGGTGATATCATTAATTTTAAGTTTATTTTTTATTTTATTTTTTATTTTATTTGGATGTAAATGACGAAAACTATTGAGATAACAAACTACAACGGTCATGAGTTCAAGAATTTGTTCTTCGTTCCTCGTGAAAATACATTCTATCAGATACGAGGGAGAAAGGGTAAAGTTAGTTTGAGCGTTTATGAAGGAATGAAGAATGGAAAGTTTATACAAGCATACGATACAAACGGTAAACGTGTTTCATTAGCTTTGTCAAAACTTACTAACATTTATTTTGACAGTGACTTTGACTCTGACGATTGGAGCGACAGCAGCGATACTGAAGAATATGAACTATTGTGTGAAGCACAGCAATGGGAAGCGCTGCAATACTTTTGTAAGTGAGAACGTTTATTTTTACAGTAGTAAGGTGAAGTGGTTGGCGGCTTTATAAATATTTAAGGTTAAGTTAGTGTTGTCGTTTGTGTTGTAAAATATACGTTAACGGTTTTGTAAAGTGTCAAATTCACAAGTATTGCGTACGGAGGAACGCAGTGCCTCAGTACACGAGACTTGTATACTAACTAGCTTCAAGAACTTTCATTGGAGTAGTTTCTGGCCATCTATCAACAGTAAATCCGTTAGAATCGACCTTTTCAGGATGATAGCGGTGTTTATGATATGGCAGTAGCATACATATTAATCCAAACATGAAAGACATGGAGATAAAACAATTGTTTTTTTATCGACAAATTGTCAAATGACAAAAGCATTGATCTTGTCAATTCGATGCTTTCCGCCTTACCGACTGGAATACATAATATTAATATGTAAATTTTTTGAAATCAAGTATAGGGTGTCCAAAGGTGTGTTTAGCACAAACCTGAATACTGCGAATAGAAATAAACAAGTTACATATATATAAAGTTTATTTAAATATAATCACCATTGGATTCAATCACGCGTTCGCAGCGATCGATCCAGGCTTGAAAGACACGCTTTAAATCATCATGAGAAAATTGCTCAAATTGCTCTCTTACAAAATTTTCAAGATCACCCTCGCGTCCTTCAGCTCTCTTTTTTAGCGTGCCGAATAAATAAAAGTCAGAGGGTGCAATATCAGGTGAATAAATTGGGTTTGGAACAACTTTGACATTGTTTTCCACTAAGTAATTCATTACCTTATGACTTTTGTGAACTCTTGAATTATCAAAATGAATTGCAAACTTTTGTTTTTGTTGTTTGGATTTCTCAAACTCATCAGAATTGATAATTTGAGTAAGAACATTGTCAATTAGATACTGAGCATTCATCGTATTAGGTTTTTGAAGAATATCAATTGCGATGATGCCATTCACGCCCCAAAAAACCGACAACATCATCATTGGTGTGTCAATTTTTTTCTTCGGGAATGTTTGCGGATTTTCATCCTTCGGGATCCACATGATTTTGGCTTCTGTTGCATATTGAAACCAAGACTCGTCCCCTGTTACTAAAAAGCGAAACTTCTTGGATTGATACGCACCCAATATAGAGAGGAGCTCTTTCGAAGATTAGACTCTAGATTTTTTTTGAACTGAATTAAGGTTGTGCGGAACCCAACGTGTATACGCTAGTTTGTAGTTCAAATAATTGTGCAGATAATAACTGACTGTTGTACGTGGTATCTTTGTCATCTCCTCTATCCTTCTGAGTGATGCTCTTGGGTCTTCATCTAGCGCTTGAAGAATTGCTTTGATTTTTCTTTGATCCGGCGATTTTTTGTCAATTTTTATGATGGGCGCCTTTTTGTTCATGAAGTGATACATCCTAACATGATACGTTACAGTGGAATAGCTAGGAGCATCCATACCGAAGCATTTTTCCAATGTCTCGTAGATTTTTTTACAGTCTTTGCATTTTTTTGCAAGAGCGAGGATGTTTTCTTTATGATTCATTAAAAAAATGAAAAAAATCCCGCCAAAATTTCCCGCGAAACTGCCTCTTGTCTCAAAATTCATTTTATATCCCGGCATGGCGCCAAAATACAACTTACTCATCATATACATATATTCATATTTTTTATTATATATTTATAATCAGCATATATCTCCTTTAATAGTCTCATATAGAGCGCTGTGCTAAACGCACCTTTGGACACCCTATATTTGGCAAGAATAAGATTTTAAAAAGTGATGCGGCAAAAACGGCTTTTTGTATTGAATTGAAAGTTTTTTTTTCTTTTCAATATCATTTATAATGTTCCTTCTTTGTCTTGTGAACTTAGGAGAATCTAGACTGAAACGCCCACGTCATCATATGAAAGAATATGTCCAAGAAAACGGCTGGCTCGGTTGCCATGAAACCCATGATCCATACACAGAAAATTTAGTTATCAACCGTGTTGATGGCAATAAAGAGACACGCACTGTTTATACGGCTGATCTATCATCTCTTTACGGTCTAGTTGCAGCTAAATATCCTCTTCTTCTTGAAATAACCGATTATTTCATGGAACATTCTGAACCCTTCTATAATTCCAAAATTACAAGTACATTAGGACATGTAACTCTTGAAATTCAGGCAGCCCAAAAAGGAGAAGGATTTTGTGATTACACAGCTCAAATAAAGACTGTTCACATTAAAAAATGCTACGGGAAGGAGACACATAGGAGAGAAACATTTGAAAACAGATTTATTACAGAGGGTGAGCGCAAAACTATCTTGAATGCTATTAAAGATAAGATCGGAATCCTTCCAAATCCTAAATTTTAATTTTACCGAATAAATTATAACTTTTGGCAAATATTGATGTTTCATAATTACATTACATATTGTAATAAACGTCTATACTAATATAGAATAGATATTAGTGATTGCAATAGCTTATCTCTGAATTGATCAATATCTTTAAATGAATGGAGTGAAACAGTTTTCAATTGCAAATTTTGTAAAGCTCACAATCTGATCTCATTAATTCAGTATTTTATTTTAGTGTATTGACTATATAATACAATAAATTAAATAAAAGCAAATATACTAAGTTATTCTCGATCAAAATTTTATTCGATTTTTTAGCATTCTGCCAAAACTGTCTTTGTGTCAAATGACAAAGCAAATGAATTTTGCCATTTCAAGAAAATTGAAAATTTTATAAATATAAAAAAAGAAACTCATCTAAGTATGGAATATTAAATTTGGCAAAAATAAGATTTAAAAATTGTCATGTCAGAAGCGGTTAAATTTTCTTAGTTGTTTTCAATATTATAATTTTCATTTTTTCGATGTTCTTTCTTTGTTTATTAAGTTTAGGAGAATCTAAGATTCGCTATCCACATCGTCATTCTCATAGAGATCATTATGTAAGTAATGGAGCTCAAATTCAGAGAAAAACAACAGATTTACCAATGAATATCACAGGAGTAAAGACTGATAAAACAGAAGGCGTTTATACAGTTAAAGATCTTAAGTCTCTTCAAAAGATCGTCCAATCTGCATACCCTCTCCTTGTCAACGAAACCTTATCTGAAGCAATGGAGAAAACTAAATACAAAGTTGACAGGAAACAAACCTCTTTCAATGTTGAATTCGAAACAATTAAAGTTGCCAAAGAAGGAAAAGAATTGAAAGCAGTTTTCAATAAAGGCCATGTAGATGTCGGTTACCTTGCTATGACTGAGAAGAAAGAAATAAAGCGATTTGGAACTAGAATATTCCATACTCGTACAGAACATGTCCCAAGACCTCTTACAGATCATGAAGTCAAAATTATTTTTGACATCGTCAAAGAAAAAATTCATAATTAAATAAAGACTTGGTTTTCTTTATTTAAATTAGCCATATATTTTGGAATATGCTAATGAAAATAATTTGATGAAAAAAAACAGATTTAAAAAAATTGTCAAGATTCAATCAAAGTTTTATAAAAATCAGAGAGTTAATTTTGGAATTTCCTGAAGTACATGTTGCAACAGCCAGAACATATTTTTTGATTTTTAAATATGGCAAAAATAAGATTTTTATCATGTCAGAAACGGTTTGATTTTTTCACAAATCTATAATCTCTCAATTTTTGTTTATAAATTATTCTTTAAAGATTGATGTTCTTTCTTTGTTTTATAAGTATAGGAGAATCTAAGCCTTTTCTTCCACATCGTCATTACATGAAGGACCATTATAAAACTAATGGAATGATTCACAGATCAAAAATTGAATTACCAATGAAGATTTTAGGAGTCACGAGTAATAAAACTGAAACTACAGAGATAGTTAAAGATCTTCAGTCTCTTCAAGAAATCGTCAAAGCTAAATATCCCCTCCTTGTCAATGAGACTTTATCTGAAGAATGTGAAAAAGTTAAATACAAAGTTGATAAAACTGAAGGATGTTATCACGTTACATTCGAAAAAATTAAAGTTTCTAAAGAAGGAAAAGAATTAAAAGGTGTTTTCTATAAAGGTTTTGTCGAAGTCAAATATGGAGCTTACACACGTAACATCGAAGAGGAACAAATCAGCTATCGAAAATCTCGCAGAAAAGTTGATAATGTTCCACGACCACTTACAAAACCCGAAGTCGACATTATCTTTGATATTGTTAGAGAAAAGATTTCTCATTAAATTAAAACTTGATTTTTATTTAAAAACAACAAATTACCTTGTTATATGTAGATTAAATAAAATAATAAATAAGTAAAAAAATTGAGAACATTTGTTCTCAAATAATTTCGAAATACCACAATTTCCCTTTCTTCACCAGATGTGAGTTTTACTTTGGATAAAAATTCTGAAATTCAAATATTTGGCAAAGAGGTATCTCGATGTCAGAAACAGTTTCCTTGTCTCAATTCAATTTTCATTTATTATCAATGTTTCTTCTTTGTTTGATAAGCTTAGGGGAATCTCAAATGCATCATCACCACCATCATAGAAGACCACGGATTGCATATGATACAAATTCTAATTATATGCAAACTGATTTGCCGATGAAAATTCTAGGAGTGCAGAGCAACAAAGATGAATCCACTGATGTTACTCCAGATCTTAAGTCCCTTCAAGAGATGATCAAAATAGGATATCCTCTTCTTGTCAACGAATCTTTAACTGATGGACAAGAGAAACTTAGATATCATGTTAACAAAACGCAAGGTCGTTATTATGTCACATTCGAAACAGTTAAAGTATCCCAAGAAGGAAAAGAATTCAAAGCATTTTTCCGTAAAGGTTATGTCGATGTCAAATATGAAGCATTAACTGAGATAAGACCCAATCCAAGATGCAAATTCATTAGACAAACGAAACGCATTCCAAGACCTCTTACACAACATGAAATTCAAATAATTATGACCATTGTCAGGGAAAAAATTTTTTCATCATTAAATTAAAGAATCAATTTTCTTTATCTTATAATTAATAAAATATTTTGATATATGTATGTGAACTAATGGATATATGGTATGAGCATGTTCATTGATTAGTTTGCATTGGAATTTAATCGATGATCATTTTTATATTTTATCAGGCTGATAAAAGAGATATTTTTATTGATGCCACTATTTTCAAGATGTGAGTGTATTGAAATAATAATCTCTTTTGAATCTTAAACTCCTTTTCATATCAACATTGTTTTTTTGTTGCATCATATTTAAATATCAATTGATATAATACGATTGCTGATATATGTTGTCTTTTTTACATTCTTATAGTGAGTTTTAAAAATATTTAAATATTTGCAATTCATGAACATTTAAAGATAATTTTATAGAACCTTTATTCAAAAACGAATATTTGTCACATAAGTGCGATTAAAACTCACGGTTTATTTTTATAATCCAAATTTCATTGAATTGTATTACAGATGTCATTCAAACATATCCAACAAGTGATACTTTAGCCACTATTATTCGTATTATTGGTCAATTTAATCATCATCTTCAATTCAAAAGCAAGAGCACGAAGTTGTAATCAAAGCTTGACAAAGATAAATAATATTAATGATTTGAATTTCAAATTGAAATGAATGTTGTTTATTTTCAATTTTTATATTTTCATGATTTACAAGTATTTCATTTTTTACAACGGTCGAATAAATTGGCATTCGTGCGTTAACATTGAAGACTGCCAAGTTAGGTACAGCGACCTCATTAGTTTTTTTCTCGAAAAACTTCAAGAACAACAAAATGAAGTCGAAACTATTGAGAATTTAAACGTGTTCATTGTCAAAAATCTCGAAAATGAGAAAGTTTCGAATCTATCAGATAACATTCCTTTTGATACAAGTGGAATTACAGAGTTATTTTTGACAAGCAAAAGCATTCAGACAAAAATCAAAAAGTCATCATCAATCCAACAATATCCATCTAAAATAATCGAAGAAGGTAAATCATTTGCTGAAAAATCGGATTACAGAACTGCTCTAGAATTTTTCAGTTCAGTCGACGCTTTTGGCTCTTTAGAAACAATCAAAGTCTTATACAAATTAGAAAGATGGTCTCAATTAGAACAGCATGTTCCTCGATTACTCGCAATTTACGCAGGAAATCCCGAAGTCTATCAAATCTACGGAGCATACTGTGAATATTATAATTACCCATTAAAGGCATTGCATCAGTATCGTCGTGCTCTAAGTTTTGGAGAAAATCCTGATATAGAAGCAGCAATTGCCCGAATACACTTAGCTATAGGGGATGTAACGCAAGCAAGATTAACTATTACCAATGTTCTTGAGACTTATGACTATAATCCCAATGTTATAGCGGCTGCAGTTCGAATTGCCATAAAATTAGAAAATTTTGAAACAGCAATTCGTCTTTCACTCCGTCATCCCAAATGCTACAAGTTACTAGCAGAAATTTGTGACATTCCCACTGGTCTAAGTGTTTTTTACGAACAAATAAAAATTTGTAATCGCTATCCAAAGGGATTATCCACAATTGCTCTTGTTCTTTACAATCATGGATGTCCAGATGCTGCAATTAATATATTACATAACTACTTTGTCGATGTAGATCGTGAATTAATAGTTTCAGCAACACTTCTTTGGATTCTCCTCCAAGAAAGAAGATATTCTAACTTTGCTGAATACGCTCAGCTGTTCCTTTCTCTTCATCCGCTTGAAGCTTTTGCTCATATTCAAGCAACCGAACTAGAAATGATGCTTAGAGCCTCAAAGAATGATCGTAGTCATAGTTACTACAGGAGGATGCAAACTTCACAGCCGGAAGTCCCCCACGAACAAACTTATTTGGCTGCCATCTTATTAATCTATTTTAACTTGAACAGGTATCTCTCTGAGTCACGTGCTGTCTATAATTTGGCATATTGTCTTATAGAAAAGCTCAAAAATGACAAGGATTACTATGATGTTTATCTTGTAGCGTCAAAAATCATTAATGGGCCAATAGATATCCCAGAAGACTCAAAGACTCCAATAATAGTACCTTTAATTGGTGACGAATTCTCACTTTTGTGCGGAAAAGAAGCAGTAATTGTTTCATCTAATCATTATTACTTCACGCCGTGCCCGATACCCCGAATATCGTTATGTAAGCTCTTTAATTGTAAGAATACTACACTGAGAAAGCGATTCTTTAGTGCTCTTAACGAATTTTCTGATAAGAATTATATTATTATCATGATTGGTACAAATGACTGTGAAACTGACCTTCCTAAGTTATTTAGAAAGGGAGAATTCTCGTCATTTTCAGAAGCGGCGACAAATCTCATCGAATTAATCTACGAACTCCTTGTGAAGTATAAAGAGCAGCATCCTAATATATCTATCTTTGTTCACCCTGTTATTCCGAGGTCTTTCATAATGAAACCACTTTGCGACACATTTAATAATATATTAATGGCAAGTTGTCCAAAACCAATTGTCTTCCTTAGCAGTTTAAAGGATTTATTTGCTGAAAATAGCCTAAATTCGCTAAAAGACGTTGAAAAATACCAAAGGATTTTCAGGCAGGCATTTCAAAAGAATTTGCCTGCACAGTAAGGATTAATGCTGGGTGAATAACTTGTTTGTATTTGTTTGATATATATTAGTATATTATAAAGTTTTTTTCTATAAAATTTCAAGAAAATCATAACTCTTTTATTATTTTCTAGGCAAACGATTTCCGATTCCATAGTAAAGGTTCCCATTTACCAAATAAAAAAAATATTGATGAATTGAGATAAATTTTGATATCTCAGATATAATTATTATGAATAAAACACATTTAATGTCAGAACATGATTGAATAGCAAAAAATTATCTCATTACAATCAAAAACAAACTTATATGTTAAATTACATTCAAAATTCAAATTATAATGAGAAGAAATTCATCATAAATAGCATGATAGAATTACTTGAAACTTTTGATTACTGATTTTTTATTTCTTTACTAAAAGATAAACGATAAATATCGAAACGCATACTACTGCAACAATGAGTACACATAATACTGCTATAAGTGCAGTCTTTTGTTTTTCTAACTTAGATTTTGGTTTTTCATTCTTATGATCAGTAATTTTGTCGTAATTTCCTGCATCATCGAATACATTAAATGAAAATCCACTTTCATCATTTTCATTTAATGAAGTAACTTGGACACGAACCCTAACTGGTGACTGAGTTTCATCCTCTGGTACAGTAATCTCAAATGGAACTCTAATTCCTTGTGGATTGTCATTCTTCTTCTTTGTAGAAGTGTACAATTTATCTCCATAAAATACTTTGATTTCGAATTCAGAATCAAAGTTTGTGTCACTATCAGTAATAAAAGCATTGAATGTGATTTTTTCTCCTTTCTTGTAACTCTCTTGTTTATCAATTTCAATTTCAATAGAAAGTTTTGAGTTTAACTTTACAACAATCTTGAAAGATTCATCAGTTGTGAGTTTACCATCATTTGCTGTGATTCTTACATCATATGTTCCTGGTTCTGTATTTTTAGGTATCTTGAAGGTGAACTTTTGCTGGTCTAATGAATTTGGAACTTTCTTGTCAATGACCATTTCGTTCTTGAGATAAACTTTGACATCAATTTTTTTATCTCCTGCATCGGCATCAGAGATTGCTGCTGTGAAAGATACATCACTGTTTGGCAAATAATATGTATATCCTTTGTCACCTATATTAATTTTTGGTTTCTGATTGGATTTAATGACACTGAAATCCACTTCTTCCCACAAATAATCGTTGAGCTTGAAGATGTAGCTTGTAACTCTTAATGTATATTCGCCAATTGCCAATGGACCGACTTCTACGTCGTAATCCTTTGACATAGCTCCATTCTTATCAGATATAAAATCAATAATTTCTTCTGTAAGAACTTCTTTTGTTTGCTTGTTTGTTATTTCGTATTTGCCTTGAACTCTATAATCATGCAAGTTTGTCCACATGCTTCCCTTCAAATGGATCTTTTCATTGTCTTCGTATTCTTTCTTAATCAATGTTTTATCAAGTTTAAGGAATGGTGGATCATAAGATTCTTTTGCAATCATGTAAGAGAATGTAACAGAATCACCTGGTTGCATATGATTGTTTGTCCAAGATGTCGCCATCCATGTCATAGCTTCATCAAAATTGGGATCCAAATTCTTTCTGGTTGTAAAATAAAGAGGGGTTGAATCTTCTCCAAAATCTTTTTCATGTCTAGCAGTCACCCATGGATGGTTTTCTTGTACCCATGTATAAGCTCCAAATCCTGGAACCCAAAGGTAAAATCCGAAATTTGGCATATAAGACTCTGTTACTGAGAAACCATCCTCATTAAAATTGAATTCTATTGCAGTACATAGATCAAATCTGGCACGCTCTTTTCTATTATTTGTTAAGGTTTGTTGAACGATTATGTATTTTCCATCCTTATCGTTAATTATATTAAATGAGTAGTCCAATCCGTCTACTTCAGAGATATCTACAACATCACCTTGATTGGACTCATCAACATCTTTAAATGCAATTTTTGTATGAATTTTCTTGCTTAATGTTAAGTTTTCATCATACTCATCAAGATCGTAGATTTTATATGAGTATTTTCCTGTTTTCCAGGCCTCTAAAGCATAAGATGCCCTCGAGAATAACGATAAAAACATTGTGATGTGATAAAAATTTACGTATATTGAAATAATTATCCTTAGGCAGAGATGCTATTTGATCTCATAGTTAATATCTATCATTTTTCTTGCATGCCCATAAAATTTTTGAATAAATTTGTTTTGTATCATGTCATTGAATTATTTCAATGAATGTCAGAACTTTTAAACTCCGTTTGATGAAAAGATGATATTCGCTCTAAATCATTCTGAATGTAGTAAAAAAATTTCACGGTTTCAATAGTTGTAAACTTGAGAATGTCGACTGAGTTTATGATTGTGGGGAATCCTGTCATATTTAACTTTTTATTGCAATAAAAGAGTTTTATAGAAGCCACCTTTTAATGCTGTATTTCAAAGTTGCGTAATTCTGTTTTAAAAATAAAACGATATCATTTCATCATATTAATCATTTTTTTATATTCCGATTTTCCCAACGTTGAAAAATTTGAATACTATTTGAAATTTGAAGAGTTCTGCAATAACGTGCTACCTTTTCATCAGAAAACATTTTTAAATGACTTTTTTCTTTTTCTGAGATTGATGTGTTTACCATTTCACTTTTTCAAAAAGCCTTACAAAAAAATGTTTTAGATGTATCCTCTTTTGGTATGTAGTTTAAAATTAATTTTAGAAATAAGTCAAAAATTCAGAAATGAACTGATTCCTAACATAAATTGCTCCCATGTTTTTCGGATTAATTTTTAATAGTAAGAAAGCTGCAAGTTTTTTATATTTGGATTTTCAAATAATCATTGACTTCACGAAAATCATCTGATCCTGGTTGTATATTCACTATTTTCCTTAAACATACAAATTGTGTAAGATAATTTAAACTTTCTTTTATATCGACACTCCCGGATATTGGCAAGAGTTTGTGTAAATTGAAAAATTACTGTTGATTATGTGCTATATTAAGTCATTGTTATGAAAATAAGAATTTCAAAGTATATAAACTTTGATATGTGTAATTCAATTTATCCAATTACTGCGGCATAAAATTTTGAATAAAATTGCATGGATAAAAATTGATTTTTGACCAAATTTAAATGATATAACGATTTACCTAGATTATGTCTTTGATATTTGAAGATTGAAATAAGCATTGGAAAATCAAAAATCATAAAAATAAACGTGCACAATTATATTTCATTGATTTTTAGATGATTCCAGACGAATTTGTTAAAACCAAAAGAGCAATTAAAGAGCATGTTACAACACTTCATCAATACTCAAGCGATATTAAGAAAAAAGATGAATTGATAGCATTTTTGGAGCAAAATTGTAAAACAATCGAATCAAAACTAAATAGACAAATTGATACAATGAGCCATATGCAAGAAAGTATGATATCCCAGTGTGATGATCAAAGTCCGATAGAAACAACAAAGCAATCAATAATTGATGAAGAAAACGCTAATTTAGAAAAGCTTTATCAAAATCTTTGTCAAACAAATGATTTAATACATGAGAAAATTGCTCTAATTACAGATAATATTGAAAGAATTAAAAAAGAAAATCAATATTTACTCGAAATGAACAACATAACTGAGTCTCCAACGAGAAACCAACAAGATACAATAGAAGATTTAGATTACGGAGTTGACGATGATGACTTTGATACTATGGAAGAGAAATATAACGAAATATTGGAAAACATTATCAAAACAAAAGCTTACATTTCTCAAATGAATGTAAATTCGTGCTCGCATAAAAAGATGCATCAGGACATCTCTAAACTCATTTCAAATCTACAAGAACAAATTTATCTTGAAAATCAGAGCTTTAAACAAAAAATTAAAAAGATGAGCAATGATATTGTATCAAATAACGATGATAGTATATGCCAGCTATCAATGACTAACAATATTGATTTTGAAAAGCATAAATTACTTCTATCGAAGAAAAAACTGTCAAAAAAGATCGAAGATACATGTGAAGAGCTTGACACGATATTGTCAGCTAAAGACTTGTTTACTGAGAAGCAGAACGCGTTGATTGACAAAATTGAAAAAACAAAACAGGAAAAGATGGAATTCAATAAGAAATTTGATGATGCTAGGATAAAGAACCTTAAATTAGTGAAAGACCACAAATATTCTATTTCCGCTATGAGAAATGACATCGAAGAGTTAAAATTGCAAAATAAGCATGAGAAAACATTGATGCAGCTCTCATATTCCAAGATCAATCAGCTTGAATGTCAGATCTCTAATGTTATTTCAAGTTTATATGATGAAGAATTAAAAGAAAGAAGAATTATCGCAAACAACAAAGTTTCTTCATTATCTGAGGCCACTAATTTAGATGAAGTTGATTATAGCCTTCTATATGAGGCATTGACAGTAACATTAGATGATTTATACAAAAAGAAATCTAAAAAATTAGCAAAATTAGAAGAACTAGAAAAAACAACAGTGCCACCAATAAAAATCGATGATGTTCCGAAGCCAAAGTTCTACAGCTCAACAAAAGGCGAGTTGAAATCAACTCTGAAAGAAATTTTATCTTTACATGAAAAAATTAGTGATACTGAAAAAATGTTGAAGAATATCAGTTGCACAGTTAAATCTATACACTCAAAGAGGAAACAAGTGCGCAAACTTGAGGTTTCATTAAAACAAGATCATATTATTAATGAAAATCAACAGCCTCTTTGCATTAGACAGATTGAACAGAGTCATGCATCAGAAACCAGTAAACTTCAAAGGAAAATTGCTACAAAAATGTTAAGTATTGAAGAAACACGAAATCGAATTGCAAAAAAGGCTCAGATTTTTAAACATGTTCTCTCTCATTATGATGTTTCAAAGCATCCTCTAGATTTTGTTGTTCTAAGACCAAAATACGAAACAAACTCTCAGAACGGAAATTATTACAAGAACAAAGAGAAAAATCTTGAGCATTTGATATTTACGCTCGAAACATGTATCAAAGAAGTAGATACGCAATTGAGAGGCTATAAATTTGCTACTGTAAATCCTCTTTATGAAAGTCTTGCTGAAATTTGGAATTCAGAAGTTAGCAAGCTTATTCTTTCATGTTAGTTATATGTAAATATGTTTGTTTGATATAATTATTGTTTTCATCAAGTTTTTTAACTCATATTTTTTTCATTTTGTTAATTCATGTCTTCTTCATAGATGATTTTCAAGGTAATGCATGTCTTATCTAGGAATTTTATAGAAAACTGTTTATTGTAAGAGAATAATAACTTATATTGTTTTGAAATTAAATATAAAGTAATAATAATTGAAAAGTTTAGTAAATCAGTGCTTTAACTCATGGAAATTCTATTTTTATTACCCATTTTAAACAATTTTCAATTTGATCAAAACTAACAAATAGATTTTTTTATTAACATAATATAAATTAAACATTATCTGGAGTATACTTCCAGCATTCGAAGTTAAAGTTGTCATAAATCTTTGTCCAGCCAGGAATTCGAGTTACTTTTCTCCAACCAGTAAATTCGCCTTTGTGGGACACAACATACGTTATATTGTGTTTTCTAAAGAGATCTAAGTTATCGGGCATCCTCATCATCCGATCTGATTCGGCATATCTTCCGAAATAATCCAAACCATGGGAAAGAAGCCATCCTCCATATCCCATGTAGCTCTGACGTCCTGCAAATGTGAGAACTGGGTTTCCATGCCATTGAGAAGTCAGCCAAATTGAGTTTACAGGTGTATTTTCTGCAGCCCAATGACCAAACTCAATGGAATCTTCTTCGAACATCGGATTCTTGCCTTTCATAGCTACAAAGAAGAATCTGAAGGAACTGAAGCATGCCACGAACAAGAAAAGTACAGATATCAGTTTCCAATTGGATTTTCGCCATAATTTAGCGATAAATATTCCGAATGCATGAATGGCTAATGGAATCCATGCTGCATAAAACACTTTGGAGTTATCAAGCTCCCAAGGTTGATATCTTATCACATTTGTAACAAGAAAAACGACAAATGAAGGGATATAGAGAATATATTGACACTTATTAAGATATACCCATACGGATATTAAAGTAATGAAGGAGAAAATGCCTAATCCTCTCCACCAAAGTCTAATTGGAGCAAAAATGTCCTGTTTTCTCCCGGAAGAATTCCATATTGGATCAAGGACGATGAATCCGCTACCTTTATCCGTTTTCTTTGTTTCTAATCTTTTGAGATAAGGAGTAAATTGAGGAACGGCTAAAACATTAGCTACAATTCCAAATATTGCCCATAAATAAACATGTTTAAGCATCTTTGACTTGTCTTTCCATGGGAAATTTAAGGCTGCAAATACAATTGCCCATTGCGCTAATCCTACGTAAGAATGGACTTGTACAAGAGGTGTAATTCCGACATATACAGCTGCTAGTAAAAAGTATTGCCATTTCATTGCTTTAATTCCTTTAATAAGGACAATTAAGCACCAATAACAAAGCGGCATCGACCATAAAGATGCTCTTTGAGGTACAAGAACATGCATGATTGGATGGAACCAATATTCGTAAATATCGTTACCCCAGTTGTGAATTAAATCTCCATCAGTTCTCGTAGGGTCCAAAAGCCTTGTAAAGCCAAGGCCACCTAGATTTATGAATGTAAATAAAGCTATCAAGCACGCAAGTTGATCTTTGTGGAATAATATGCCAATATAGTATTGTCCAACTAATAAAGAGATACACATCATAAGAGATGGATAGTATACTGCACCACGCATTGTTGCACTACCTGTTCCTATTAAAACTGCTGTAAAGAAGTTAGTCATGTAAGGATAAGCGAGTTTTTCTCCTGAGTAGAAAACTGTATTGATTTTGAAGAAGGAATCACGCATATGATTGCATCCTGTCACAAAACCGGAAATAATATTTAAATGAAAAGGTAAATCTCCATATCCAGCTCCTTTTGATCTATTTCCGTCCTTTAACATGGACTCATGCATTACAATTGTATAAAATACTGAGAAGAGCGTAAGTGTAATTAATTCGAACTTTGTAAATTTTGCATAAGGACTAATTTTTTTCTTTGAGTATATTCGATAAAAAATAAATGAACAAGAAGACATGATAACCATTCCTGGTATTGCTGAAACTAATCTTAGTCGACTTTTATATGTACAAAACCAGGTAATCCAAGCAAACGTGAAAAATCCGATTGGAATTCCTGCGAAAAATCTTTGGAATGGATTTAAGCCATTTTCTATTAGTACTGTAACAAATGTATATCCAAAAGTAAGGCAGATAATGACTTCCAATGTCCAAAGCATTTTTGGATTTTGACAAATAAAATGTTGATTTTACGTGTCAGAAAAATATAATAATAGTAATTACAGAAAATTATTTAATATTACAAACAAACTAGCTAATATCTTTGTATTTATTGCATTTACAGAGTGATTGGAGAGTAAATGCCATAAACATTCGGAACAAATAGAAGGAAAACACATGCAGCTGTGATGGATATTACTTTGGCTGTCAGATCTCTGTCTTCCTTATTGAAATCATCAATAAATTTTGCACTACAAAATATTCCAAAAATAACTGGAATTTCATAGTGATATAGAAATGTAGAACGCTTAATAAATATAAATGGAATATAACTGCATAGATATCCTATGCTTTCTAGTTCTAAATTATATATTCCAGTGATAGCACCCAAAAAAGCAAAAACAGTGGCAGTAAGATTGATATATAAGTTCAATCCTATAATACCATCCTTATTCCAAAGCGGAAGAGCTCCGTACAACGATAATGGCCACTGATACCATCTTGTTGCTGCTGGATGATCACTTGTAACAGATCTGTTGTATTTGATCATCAAATAGATAAGTGTTACTGCCTTTCTAAAGAATCCATATGTCTTAAACTCTGAATTAAAATACAAATCTCCGTAACCTGGTTTTGTCAAGAGTTTGAAATGGATAAATATTGTTGCAAAGAGTACAGAAAATGCAATTGTTGCAATCAATATTCCTCTTCCGACTAATTTAAGAAAGAAACCTTTTTGGCGATATAAAAAGTAAATATGCTGTGCTGCAATATAAGCAAGCACGCCACCAGCTGTGAATTTAACTGAGATAGCGCATCCTGCAAAGAATGCTTGTAGTATCATGTAAGATAATTTTTGTTTTCTATATAGAAGTGATGATGCGAAAATAGTGAGCGTAACGAAAAGGTAAAGGAATGAATCTGTCAAAATTAGTCTCGATTGTGTTACTGTAATATAATCAAAGGTAGAAATGAATCCTGCAAGAACGGAACTTGGTGTTGATATGTGTTGAAGCATTAAGGATGTTGTAATTAGCGGTGCTATAAACGAAGATGCTATTGCTGATGTTCTTCTTAGACTAATATAAAAAGATGAATTATATTTTGGGTCTGTTGATGAAAAATTGAAGGATCCGTCATATCCAATTGCCTTAGATGTACAATAAAAGATCAATTTTGCTAATGGTGGATGAATATCGAAATGATTTTCTCCTGTTATATAACTGTTTGTGAAATATCCAAAGTGAACTTCATCAAAAACGACAGAATCTGGATGTCCTACCCAAAAACATCGCAATGCAATAGAAATGATAAAGATAATTATGATCCATTTCCATTGTTTCCTCGAAAGATAGAGAAATCTCCACTTTCTACGGAAAAGCATATGGCAGAACTCCCGTTTCAACACTTGATCTTGAAAAACAATAAAGACCACTACAAGGGCTATTTGCTTATTTTATCAATTTTATAGATTACAATTTGATAATTGCATGAGATTCTATTTCAAGCATAAATATATAATGCTTTCATCGTTCAATCGGTTTTGAATAATTTAATCGAATTGTTACTAGCTATCTAACACATCCAGCAATTATTGCCATAAAATTGATACAATTTTAAATTAGAATCTAATGCCTAAAATACTTTTGAATTAGTTAAGTAGTCAATGAAAATATTGTGATAAAAGCATTATTTGATATGGCTGAAACAAATAATAAAAAATTTTTACTTACAAATAAAAATGGAGTAAATGCAATCATGGTAATTACTTTTCCTTTGGTTTAGATTCCTCATTCTTAACAGTAGGAAGAATTGTACTGAAGAAACGATGAACTGCAATAGATTTGCAAAGATCGAAGAAAAATCCAAAGGTAATGCCGGTCGAAATAATCGAAAATGGAGCTGTCCAGAAAATGAAAATGAAAACACATTCTGGATCGAAGTAATTATTTGAGAATTTATATTGTTCCCAATTTTCGTTGAAATATGCATTGACATTTTCGGTAAAGCATACGCAAGAGATGGAGATAAAGTAAATAATTGTTAATAAAAATGTACTGTTTCTAACTTTGCGAGATATGTAAAAGAAAGTTCCAAGAGCAACAAAATAGACAATTAATGGGATGTCAAAGTAGTTGACACAAAGGATTGATTGTAAGGCCGCTTGGAGAAATGTTGATCCGTCATAAACTTCGTAAGAAACTGGAACTCCACTCATTTGATTTTTTTACAAAAAATAAACTTGATAGTCAACGCAGAACTATTTTTTCATCTTTAAAATGAAACGACTAGACATGATGATGGGGAAAATTCATTTTGGGCTTCATCCATGTCGATGGAAAATGCAATGCATGGAATCACAGCATAATGAACCTTTGATATATTCTATTACTCTATGTTAGCCGATAATCTGCTCCTTTTATTATAATTCAATAAATAACATATTGAAGGAAAAATATTCTGGAAGTCGAGTTTTGAGAGAAGTATTACGTGATCATTTTCCAAGTTTTCTATTTAATTGTCTGTGTTACCCATTGAATTTGAAGAAATAAAATGAGATAGAAGTGAATTTCCAAAATTAATCAAATGGTGAGCCTCTCTTACATGTTAATTTTAAAATAATCTCATTTTTTTTGTGATTAATGTAAATTGGTGTACCAATTGTTTGATTAAAAATACAGCTATTAAGGGTGCACACGAGAGGATCATGTAAACTTCAGAATTTAGAACCTTATTTTTAGGCATTATCTTGGCTACCTATTTAGGCTCGAAAAGCAAAAAATATCAAAAAATACAACTTGAGTCCATTATGACCCTTTCATGGAGGTAGTTTTTATCCGCTAGTATTTTCCCTTTGAATCTCTTTACAATTCGAAATCAAATTCAAATCTCAGTAGAAGAAAGGAAGAATCGACTTACTACGGTTGTAATACGAATAAATACATATATTTAATTATTTTTATTTACATAATAATTGTTTGAAGCTCATATTCCATCAAATTTTTAAATAAAAACATTAAAATGTTGAAAATGTTCATATATTTTAATAGGGTTTTGGCACTTTATTGAGGAATTACTACATACATAGTCGAACTGAACTTGATATTTTGAAATTTAAATTATTTATCAAAATTAAAATTTAACTTGAAATTTATAATTATTTTATACATGGCACGATGGGCGCTACTTTTTTGGCGCCAGCGGAGCCGCCCGCGCCTCCGGTAGGGTTGTACAAACTGGCACAATTTTGCGGGCCGCCTGCCAGGAGCTGGCACGCGGCCAAAATCAAAAAAGTGGCCAAAAATCGGGCCTCGTGGCGTGGAAAGGGTGGAGCCCGAAGGGCGACATCCTTTCCACGCCACTCGGCCTATGACCACAATTATATAATATGCTCATTATTATTTTTTCTTCTTTTCTCTTCTTTTTTTTTTCTTTTTCTCTTTTCTTTCTTCTTTTTCCCTTTTCCCTTCCTTTTTTTCTAGTTTTGGAAAGGAAAAAGTAAAAAATTTAATAATTAATTTTATTACTATGAAAATATACTTTTTAGCTTATATTGTAAGCTGTGAGAGTTTTAAGTGATGGAAGATATAAATCAAATTTGAAATTCAACAAATCTTGTTATGATTAAGTTGAATATTGTACTCTAATTAAGAGTTTTCAGTTATGAACTCAGGTATTATATAATAAAAGTATAACTCAAGATAATAAAGAGGTTTTTAAAATGTAGATCTGAAAATCAAACTACCATGTTTGATATGATTAAGTTGAATAATGTTATTTTATTAAATGGTTCAAATCTGTGAAATCGGCAATTACAAATTAAAGGCGTAGTTCAAAAAATTAAAGAGATTTTAAAAATTTAATATCAGAATTAAACTAAAAAAAGGATTTAGTTATTTCAGTAATTATCAGAAAAGGTTAAAAAGATAGGGTAAGTAATGAGACTTGAGTGAGATGTGAGAAATCATATGTAAATAATTAGATATCTGATGAGTAAGGTAGTAATGAGAGTTAAGATCTGGTTAGTAAGGTAGTAATGAGAGTTAAGATCTGGTTAGTAAGGTAGTAATGAGAGTTAAGATCTGGTTAGTAAGGTAGTAATGAGAGTTAAGATCTGGTTAGTAAGGTAGTAATGAGAGTTAAGATCTGGTTAGTAAGGTAGTAATGAGAGTTAAGATCTGGTTAGTAAGGTAGTAATGAGAGTTAAGATCTGGTTAGTAAGGTAGTAATGAGAGTTAAGATCTGGTTAGTAAGGTAGTAATGAGAGTTAAGATCTGGTTAGTAAGGTAGTAATGAGAGTTAAGATCTGGTTAGTAAGGTAGTAATGAGAGTTAAGATCTGGTTAGTAAGGTAGTAATGAGAGTTAAGATCTGGTTAGTAAGGTAGTAATGAGAGTTAAGATCTGGTTAGTAAGGTAGTAATGAGAGTTAAGATCTGGTTAGTAAGGTAGTAATGAGAGTTAAGATCTGGTTAGTAAGGTAGTAATGAGAGTTAAGATCTGGTTAGTAAGGTAGTAATGAGAGTTAAGATCTGGTTAGTAAGGTAGTAATGAGAGTTAAGATCTGGTTAGTAAGGTAGTAATGAGAGTTAAGATCTGGTTAGTAAGGTAGTAATGAGAGTTAAGATCTGGTTAGTAAGGTAGTAATGAGAGTTAAGATCTGGTTAGTAAGGTAGTAATGAGAGTTAAGATCTGGTTAGTAAGGTAGTAATGAGAGTTAAGATCTGGTTAGTAAGGTAGTAATGAGAGTTAAGATCTGGTTAGTAAGGTAGTAATGAGAGTTAAGATCTGGTTAGTAAGGTAGTAATGAGAGTTAAGATCTGGTTAGTAAGGTAGTAATGAGAGTTAAGATCTGGTTAGTAAGGTAGTAATGAGAGTTAAGATCTGGTTAGTAAGGTAGTAATGAGAGTTAAGATCTGGTTAGTAAGGTAGTAATGAGAGTTAAGATCTGGTTAGTAAGGTAGTAATGAGAGTTAAGATCTGGTTAGTAAGGTAGTAATGAGAGTTAAGATCTGATGAGTAAGGTAGTAATGAGAGTTAAGATCTGGTTAGTAAGGTGAGAGTTAAGATCTGGTTAGTAAGGTAGTAATGAGAGATCTGCGGGCAGTAATGATACATCTATGAGTACATAACTAAAACCTGAGTTCTATGAGCGAAATCTGAGAGCTAAAAGCCGAGAGATCTAAGGTAAGTAATGAGAGAAGAGAATTTGAAATTTTACAAAATACGTTTACTCATACAAAATAATTCGCATTCTTTTATAACGAATCTCAATGCCAATTAATACATAAAACAGATTTTAGCAATCAATTGCAAGATTTAGAAAGATTTTATTTATAATCTCAGCCAAATTAACAAATATTTTATTGATTTCGTAAAAAATAGCAATAAAACATAAAAATATGACATTCTATTTTTCCAAAAAAATTTCAAAAATCATTTTTTAACATGAAATTTATATTTTTTAATTTTTTTTTTAAATTTTGAATTTTTTTTTGGAATTTTCAACCATGTCAAAAGTCGGGATCTACAAATGTATTCTCTTTGACATAGGATAAAAACATCCTTTCTTATAATTTCATTGTAAAATAAAATTTTCTTAAATTTATTGAATCCAAACTTAACTTTGCAACATTTTATTATCATAAAAACTAAGAAACATCAGGTAAACTTCAATTTGGAGAGCTTAAAATCATATCTAAATTGAAAAATAAGGGGAAAAAATTGTAAAAAAAATCTCATTAGATGGGGCAAAAAGTGACTTTTTTAATGTGTTTTTTAAAAAAATCGTGCCAGCTGGCCAAAAAAGGTGTGCCAGCAGGCGTGCCAGTTTGTACAACCCTAGCCTCCGGTGGCTCCCACTGGTGGGGAGGAGATGATAGAAAAAGATATAAATTTTACTAAAAAAATTGAATTTTGGAAATTCTTTTGATTTTTTTGAATGATTTACGAAGAGATTGAACACATTTTGTACTATGAAATATCGTTATTAATAAATTTACTTCTTAAACATCTATTAAAATCGCAATTTTGAATATTTTTATGATTTTTTTTGACCCGATCACTTGCGCCCGCGCCCACTGGGAGGGGCGCTTGTAAAGTATTCAAAAATCAATGTAAACATTTCAATTTTTGCTCCCACCTCCCATTGGGAGGGGGGCATATATCTTGTAGCGTTCAAGTTCAAGTGATGAAAGTGCATAAGAAAGCTCCTTAATCATACCGATAGAAACAGCATTAGGGGCGCCAAATGGCGCTCGGTGATGTTTCCCATAAAAGCTTAATTTCAGGTATCCATAATCATAACCTGTCAGACGCAATAATTCATTAGCACACAATCATCGTTTCTCAATCAAGAAACGAAACGCACGATTGATTATGCTGGCCATTAAATTTTCATATCAAATAATTTACTACTTCAAGAAAAATTAAAGACTATCATCAACCAAAGCTTAAAATTCTCAGTGTTTACAACTCTCATACTTCGAATATGCATATTTCCAAAATAGCATGAAAATTTTTTTCATTTGAGCTCATTTTCTTTTGTTCTATTAACTAATACATGCAGTACAAGCTTGTTATACGTATACTTAATAAGTAAGGTCTTAAGGGAAATAATAAAAAAGAATTTTGCTATTAATTATATTAAACAATATTTATTTGTAATTTCGTGATAATTATATTTCTTATTACAAAGTAAAGGTATTTGATATAATGTTTGCCTTACAAAAATGTTTCCTTTGTCTTGCCACCATAGGTATTCTATTTTGTCACTTTTTGCGCCCGCCGTGCCATGTATAAATTATTTAGTCATATTTTGCATAATTCTAAGTAGATTTTGTAAAAAATCAAGAAAGAAAAATTTTAACGTGCTTTATTTTTTCTTTTTTATAATAATACATATTATTATATAATTAACATATTCATAATGTTTCACCCTTTCAAAAATATAATCCTCCTCCTCTCAAATAAACGTACATACGGGTGGCCTCTTTTTTCAAAAAATCAAAATTTGAAATTTTGGGCTCAAATATTAGAGATTTTTTCAACCTTCAACGATATATGTTGTCTTGTTGTAAACAGAAATTCATCAAAAGTGACACCTCAGAAAAGCTAAAATATTGAATTTTTGGAACTTTTGATAGAGCACGTTTTTAAATATTAATTAAAGTAAATGTATATTTTGTAAAGATTCTTTTTAATAAAAAATAAAATTTTGAAGAAGAACACAAAATCTTCTGAAAAATAATATCACATAAACTCATATTATTTTCTAATATATAACTATTTTATATAAAAATCAAATTCAATGATCTTAAAAGCGAAGGATAAACCTCAAAATTTACGAATATAATGAGTGGGAATATAATGCTTATCTATCATAAAACCATATGAAATATCAATTTTTGCTTTACGCCTAATTTTTGACGACAATTAGCAAAAAATGTTAAATGTTAACACTCAGTCCATTTGAATATGAAAAATAAAATTGACTTTGATTAAATGTTTTTATTTATCATGCAATTCTTCTTGCGACCAAAGATTTGAATAAAAGTTCAAAAAATAAGATAGCTTAAAAAATAATATACGGTAGTGTTTACTAATAGATGAATAGTATATAAATTCTATTAAAATGGATTTGATCCAAAAAAATATATAAAATTTGATCATAAATAAAATCGTTTTAAATTACTTCTTCATTTAAATTATAACAATTATTTTTGGTTTTATATTTTTTTGGATCAAATCCATTTTAATAGAATTTATATACTATTCATCTATTAGTAAACACTACCGTATATTATTTTTTAAGCTATCTTATTTTTTGAACTTTTATTCAAATCTTTGGTCGCAAGAAGAATTGCATGATAAATAAAAACATTTAATCAAAGTCAATTTTATTTTTCATATTCAAATGGACTGAGTGTTAACATTTAACATTTTTTGCTAATTGTCGTCAAAAATTAGGCGTAAAGCAAAAATTGATATTTCATATGGTTTTATGATAGATAAGCATTATATTCCCACTCATTATATTCGTAAATTTTGAGGTTTATCCTTCGCTTTTAAGATCATTGAATTTGATTTTTATATAAAATAGTTATATATTAGAAAATAATATGAGTTTATGTGATATTATTTTTCAGAAGATTTCATTCTATATGCCTATGAAAAGTACTCTCAAAACTAACTTTTTCCTAATTATAATTAAATCTAGAATAGTGTATTATGCTTAGTATTATTTCATTTTTCTCATTCAATTTAGAATTTACAAATGTCAAAAAATTGAGAGCTGTCACTTTTGATGAATTTCTGTTTATTACAGTCTATATCAGACCTCCTTTCTTTTTGATACTTAACATTGTTCCTAAATCTTAGCCGTTAAGGCTGTTCTGAAAATATTTTTTTTTCGAAAAAATTCGAAAAAAATTCTTAAAATTCAAAAATCCCTTAATTCATGAGGATTTTGGAAAAAAGTTTTTAGGGATGCGTTAAACACGCCATTTGACCGGGCGTACATTTTTTTTGTTCGCCCAAAAATTTCGCCATTTGAGAAATTCAAAAATTAAAAATAAAATTTTAATCTTGATTTTTTTATTTTCGTGATTTTTTTGAAACTTACATAAGCGATGAAATACTTTTTTTAAGTAATCGTTTATTATATATAAATATATCTTAATAAATTTAATTCCTTAAGGTAGAGCGTGTTCAAATTTAAAATCTCATACAATATTTTCTTAATGGCGTATTTTTCTGAGGTCGCCCAAATAAAGGCGAATTCAAAATTGAGAACTCCAAGGCGTATGGCGAGTATTCAAAATGTACGCCACTTACAAAATATTGAATGTGGATTATCAATTTTTTGGCGTTTTCAATTTCAAATTTTGATATTTATGTTTATTTTATTCAGTATAATGCTAAGAATTAAAATATAAAATTCATAGAATTTTTTCTTTGAAAATATTTTACATTTTTATTAGACCACTCCTAGACTAGTCATCAGGTTATCCTCAGATCATCCTCAGACTACTCCTTAGACCCCTCCTCATCAGACTACTCCTCAGATCTTCCTCATAAGACTCCTCCTCAGATCTTCCTCCTGAGACTACTCTTCAGACTACTCCTTAGAGTCCTCCTCATCAGACTAGTCCTGAGTCTAGTCCTCAGACTACTCCTGAAACTACTCCTCAGATTATCCTCAGACTCCTCCTCAGATTATCCTCAGATTCCTCCTCAGATTATCCTCAAACTCCTCAGATTATCCTCAAACTCCTGAAACTACTCCTCAGATTATCCTCAAACTCCTCAGACTCCTCCTCAGATTATCCTCAGACTAGTCCTCAAACTCCTCAGATTATCCTCAAACTCCTCAGACTACTCCTCAAACTCCTCAAATTATCCTCAGACTACTCCTCAAACTCCTCAAATTATCCTCAGACTACTCCTCAAACTCCTCAGATTATCCTCAAACTCCTCAGACTACTCCTCAAACTCCTCAAATTATCCTCAAACTCCTCAGACTACTCCTCAGATTATCCTCAGACTAGTCCTCAAACTCCTCAGATTATCCTCAAACTCCTCAGACTACTCCTCAAACTCCTCAGACTACTCCTCAAACTCCTCAAATTATCCTCAGACTAGTCCTCAAACTCCTCAGACTACTCCTCAAACTCCTCAAATTATCCTCAGACTACTCCTCAAACTCCTCAGATTATCCTCAAACTCCTCAGACTACTCCTCAAACTCCTCAGACTACTCCTCAAACTCCTCAGATTATCCTCAGACTACTCCTCAAACTCCTCAGACTACTCCTCAAACTCCTCAAATTATCCTCAGACTACTCCTCAAACTCCTCAGACTACTCCTCAAACTCCTCAGATTATCATCAAACTCCTCAAACTACTCCTCGGTCTAATCCTCAGACTCCTCCTCAGATTATCCTCAAACTCCTCAGATTATCCTCAAACTCCTCAGACTACTCCTCAAACTCCTCAGATTATCCTCAGACTAGTCCTCAAACTCCTCAGATTATCCTCAGACTACTCCTCAAACTCCTCAGATTATCCTCAAACTCCTCAGACTACTCCTCAAACTCCTCAGACTACTCCTCAAACTCCTCAAATTATCCTCAGACTACTCCTCAAACTCCTCAGATTATCCTCAAACTCCTCAGACTACTCCTCAAACTCCTCAGACTACTCCTCAAACTCCTCAGATTATCCTCAGACTACTCCTCAAACTCCTCAGACTACTCCTCAAACTCCTCAGATTATCATCAAACTCCTCAAACTACTCCTCGGTCTAATCCTCAGACTCCTCCTCAGATTATCCTCAGATTATCACTTTACATATATATATCGATAACTAAATAATTACTTATTATACTTTCTTTATTTTTTTTTAATTTTAAAATAATATTAATATATCTTTCTACGTTTAATGATGAAAAGAGAAAGAGGAGTAAAAAGAGGAAAGAGAAAAGAAAGAGAGAGAGAGAGGAAAAAAAAGAGAAAGAAAGGAAAAAAAAAGGACGGCGATAATTTTGTATTGTTTTGTTATTCGGCCGAATGGCGGCTACTTCGTACCCGCCATTCGGCCCCAAAAATGGCGTATTATTCTATTTTTAAACGGTCGTGGCGTAAAACCGTCGCATCCCTAAAAAGTTTTTACATGAACATGTGTATATTATATGAAGTATATTGATAAGGTAAAAATCAAATTTTATTGCATATTCATCGAGAAAATAAACTAACGAATCCCTCAAAATTGAGAGGGTAATCCTCCTCCTCTCAAATAAACGTACATACGGGTGCACCCTTCAGGGCTTTTTGATTTCCAAAAAAATTTCAAAAAATAAAAAATATTATTAAAAAATATGAATTTGCAAGTATATTTTAAAATTTAAATTATTTTTGGAAAATAGAAATTATTTTATTTTAGATGCTAATCCTAATTTCATCAAACTTTTGGGTCAATAAACAAAAATCATAGAATTTGATTGATGAATTATGAAATAATGCATGTAATAACCGACGAAACGCTATTACTCTCACTAAAACTAGCAATGTTTGCATTTACACAAATAGATATGCTTAATGAAAGAAAGATTTTTGGTTTTGTAAGATACAGCTAGATTTTGGTGAAGCATTCTTATGAAAAATCCAATAGCTAGCTTTCGGCACTAACAATATCCGATAATGAATCCAAAATTTTGAATCAAATCAGAAATCTTTTGGAGATTTTTGTTTTTTAAAAAATCAAGAATGACATTTGGAATACTTTTTCGTTGTAGGTGGTTACGATAAAAAAATTTCATTTTACTTTCAATGTTAATCTTCCTCTTTTCTTTTATCATCAGTAAGGAAACCACCCATCCCGAAGACATGCCAACGAAATATCTGATCAACTGGGAGAACGATGATAAAGGCAGAAGAAAAGTTAGATTTACAATTCCTAAGACTAATGTTGAAGTTCGTTGCACTGTTATTAACGAAGATAACGATGTTGGCCTTGGAACAGGTGGAACGGAGCACCCAGCCATTAAAAAATACGACAAATTATTAATTCCAAGCCGCTTTACCTTCCTTAAACAAGAATTCAAAGTAAAATCCATCAGAAAATACGGTTTTTATCAATCAAAGATCCACGAAATCATATTTCCATACGCTTTAGAAAAAATTGAACCTTACGCTTTTTATGAAGCCGAAATCATTCAACCACTTGATCTTTCCAAGACCAAAATCTCCAGGATAGAGAACTATACCTTTTACCACTCTAAAATCAAGACAATTAAACTTCCACCAAATATCGAATTCATTGGCCATTCTGCCTTCGCTTTTTCCTACATTACAGACTTTGTTTTCCCAGAATGTATCAAAAGCTTACTACCATGCGTATTTTCGTACGCAGAAAAGCTCGAAATGGTTGACTTATTCACAACAAAATTAACAGAAATTCCAGAAAGGACTTTCGAGCGATGATCTCATTATCAACAATCCTTTTACCACAAACACTCACAAAACTTGGTGAAGGATGCTTCTATTATTGCGTTTCAATCGATTCTTTCGATTTTTCGGTTCAAAAAATAAGAGAATTTGGTAATTTCGCTTTTTACAACTGTTTCAGCCTCCAATCCATACAGTTTCCAGTTAACTTGGCTGTAATAGGTAGTGGAGCACTGGGATCTACCAAGCTAAATGTTTTAATCCTTCCTTCTTCGATTGAATACATCGGAACATTCGCATTTTACTCTTGCGTAGAATTACATGACGTAAACTTGGTAGAAACTAATATTAAAGATATCCCTGAGGATTGCTTCGCGTTGTGTAGTGTTTTGACTGATATTTTGTTGCCACCTGGAATTAATCGAGTTTTAGAGGAAAGCTTTTACCTCTGTACATCTCTTCAGACCATAGATTTCAAAGGAACTGAAGTAGAGTTCATCGGAAGGTCCGCTTTCGCTAATTGTAACAATCTATTAACTGTCTTGCTTCCTAGCGATATAGAAATACTCGGCCCGATGTGTTTTGCATTCTCAGCCATAAAAGAGTTCATTGCTCCAAGGTCTCTCCGCCAAATCGGTTACGAATGTTTCTTCGGATGTAATTATTTACAAAATGTAAACCTCTCAAATTCAATTGTGTCAAAATGAGGTGACTTTACATTTTACGGGTGTAAGAACCTTAAAAGTATTCAATTGAATGTTTTAGTGACATCTTTTGGTGAAGCATGCTTCTCACACTGCGAGGTACTTAGTAGCATCCATATACCTGTGAACCTCAAAGCAATTGGCCACATGTGCTTCTCAGATTGTTATAAACTGATTGAAGTAGATTTTTCATCGACAACGTTGACAAGCTTGGCCTTAGGCATATTCAGTAACTGCCATTCATTACTACAAGTTAAGCTTCCGCATACAATTACTGAATTTAAGGAAAATAAAAATCCTGACCGAGTACAAATCGGAGATTCGATTGGATTCGCCAAAGAAATGGACAAATGGGAGGAAGAGATCAAGAACATCACGAGACCTCTATCACCTCTCACTTACAGACAACAAGCCCATTTAGAATCCAGAGCTGCCTTCTACAATTGCTTTAAACTGAAGTCGATTGATATATCAGTTACGAAAGTGAAGAGTTTGCCCGATTTTACATTCTTTAATTGCTCAGATTTGAAAAATATCAAATTACCTGACGATCTATAGAGAATTGGTGATGGATGCTTCAAAGGATGCTCAATGGAATCAATTACCCTATCAGAAAGTGCAAGCGAAGTAGGAATTTACGCATTTTCTAACAATGAAAAATTATCCATGGCAGATTTCGGTTCCAGCTCATTGAATTCTATTCCAGAAGGATTGTTCTGCAACTGTACTAGCTTAGAAGCCATCATATTCCCTGCAAATATCGATCTAATCGGTCCAGAATCCTTCAAAAAGACGAAATTACCTTTTGTCAAGTTCCCTGAGACGGTTTTAGACGTAGGAAAGTCCGCATTCAGCGAATGTTACAATCTGCAAGAGGTAGATCTGTCTAAAACCAACATTGTCAAAGTAAAAGAATCAACTTTCTCTAAATGCTCGAAATTAGCGAAAGTTCAGCTTCCAAGTAGCCTCAGAATAATAGGAAGTGCAAGTTTCGCGCTTACAAATATCCAGGAAATTGCATTTCCATCCACATTAACTGTAATTGGCTCTGCATCGTTCGCCTATTGCTCCAACCTCCAGAAAATCATTTTATCCAACACAATAATCAAGGCAATCAAGCAGAGCGCGTTCGAAGGTTGCTTAAATTTGGATGAAATTGATTTGCCAACAAGTTTGGCAAATGTCGGCCAACAGATATTCCTCGGATGTTCTAAGTTGTCGAAGATTAAGTATGGAGGCTTAAATGACTTAGAAAGTGAACAATATTTGCCAAATGACGTAGAAATTAGTTTACCTGACTTGTTTACAGGATCAAGGTTCTTGGGACATGATGTACATTACGACAAAGTTAAAAAGATATATAGAATCAAGATACCTGAAAATAATCGCGAATGAAAACTTTTAAATAAATTGTTTGTTATTTAGATATGCTTAGAAAATTAATTTTTGATATTTTTTTCTACAGATTTGTTCCTAATTTCCTATTGATCTTTTCATTTTTTTTTTAAATCCATGTTTTAGACATTTGGTTTATGATTAATTAGTTATATTATAGATAGATATAACTTATGAATCAACTGATCATGGGATTTTCGAAAATACATGGATGATCAAAGATGATTTTTTTTATTTAGTTTACCAAAATTTTTAAATTTTTTGTTGCAAAAATTATCAAAATTGAAGTGATTTTTTGACACTTTTGGAATTTTAGTCAAACTCATTCTCAGAATTTTTTTATTTCATTTCTATGAATCAACCACATCTTGGCATTGATTTAGGAACTACGTATTGCTGTATTTTTGCATTTGATGAGAAAAAGAACATAAAGTTTTCGATTAGAGATGGTGATTCCGAGCAAATTCCTTCATTTGTTTCATTTGCAAATGAGGAAAGAATTGTTGGTAGAAAAGCCATGGCACAAATGATAACCAATCCAACAAACACCATTTACGACTCAAAAAGAATGATTGGAAGAAATTTTGACAATCAAATTTTCCAAGAAGATAGAAAGAATTGGATGTTTACTACTACAAGAGGTATGGAAGGATCCATTAATATCAATGCTACTATCAATAATCAGACAATCACCCTTCTTCCCGAAGAAATTTCCGGATACATTCTAAAACACTTAAAAGATACTGCAGAATTAGTAATAGGAAACTGTACCGATGTAGTCATTACTATACCAGCTGCTTTCAATGAAAGACAACGCGAAAAAACAATTTTTGCTGCACAAGAAATTGCCGGATTCAGAAGCGTCATTTTACTTGATGAACCATCATCAGCCGCACTTGAGTATGCACAAGGACTTCCATCAAATGCAGATGAATTAGTTTTGATCTTTGATTTCGGAGGTGGAACTTTAGATATCTCAATCGTTGAAATATTCAACAATCAATGTAAAGTTATTGCAACAAATGGAGATCCGCACTTCGGAGGCCAAGATATCGATCAACTTCTTGTTAATAGATTCAGATATGATTTTGAAACTAAAAATGGCATAAAAATTGATCAAACAACAAAAGAAGGCCAAAAAGCAATATTACTTCTTAAATTGTGCTGCGAAAATCTCAAAAAAGAATTAAATTATATAATTAAAGCTGAATTTACGATAAAAAGCTTCTACAACAACATAGATCTCTATTGCAGTATGAACAGAAGAGAATTCAGGACACTTTGCAGTGATTTGTTTAAACGAGCTGAAAATTTGGTTAAACAGAGTTTGGAGAAAGCAAAATTAAGACCAGAGAATATTTCACAGGTTATTATGATCGGTGGATCATCTCAAATACCAGAAATCCAGCAAATCCTCCAGGATATTTTTGATAAAGAACCACTTCACTCAATTAACGCTTTGGAAGCTGTTGCAAGAGGTGCTTGCATACAATGTTACAATCTCCATAAAACGAACGGATTTGAAAAGGAAATTACTCCAAATAAAGAAGAAGTAGAAGAAACTAAACCAAAGAAGCCAAGTGACAACAAAGAAGGTGGCAAAGAAAAGGAACCAAAGAACACAAGTCATGAAATTGAAGAAGTAGAAGAAACTAAACCAAAGAAGCCAAGTGACAACAAAGAAGGTGGCAAAGAAAAGGAACCAAAGAACACAAGTCATGAAATTGAAGAAGTAGAAGAAACTAAACCAAAGAAGCCAAGTGACAACAAAGAAGGTGGAAAATATAAGCCACAGAACGCAATACCTGTAGAAAGAATAGGCTTCCAAATAAAATTGGTTGAAACTGTTAGTTTGTCTTTCGGAATTAGAACAATAGATGACGGTTTCTCAGTTGTTATCAAAAGTGGATCAGTAATTCCAGCGAAATTCTCCCAATTATACGAAACAACTGTTGATGACCAAGATACAGTAGATGCATGCATTTTCCAGGGAGAAAGCCCTGTTGCATCACAGAATAGCTATATAGGAACATATAGAATCACTGGAATTCCAAAGAAAAAAGCCGGAGAAGTGATGATCAAAATTATTCTTTCTCTTGATCGAAGTGGTGTCTTCTCTCTCACTCCTTTGTTTGATGATAAGGAATTACCATATACATTCGTTAAAGAACTTTGTATTTCTGACTCAGAAATGAAGAATGTCAAAGATAATCTTAATCTGTTTAGAAATCAAGATACAATAACAGAGTTTTATAAATTGGCTGCACAGCTCACAAGAATTGAATCAGTTATCAAAAGAATTTGCAGAAAAGAAAAAAATTCTAACGAAAAACACGTAAACTTGAAGGAGAGAATATTTGATCTAGTTACTGACACTCAAGGAGGTAATCTACAATTAATGGACTACATCAGGTTGACAAAAGAAATTCTACAAATTCTTGAAGAATTCAATACTGAATTCCCTAATGAGAGGCAGTAATCTATCTTATATAGTGACTTCTCAATGATAATTTGTTCTATTATTTGTTATTATCATATACTATTGTTATTATGAAGGTAAACACAATAATTTTATCATATATTATTATCTGCTTTCTGATTTTTCAGATAATTACCCCTTTAATTTGTTTTCAAAATCTTATTTGAACAAAAATTTAATCAAGATTTCGGCAAAAATGATGTTATTCATCAAATATATTTGTTGAAATAAAAACAGTTAATTATAGTAAATACGATATAAACTCTTTTTACTTACGCGCTCAAAAATCCGCTCTTTACCAAGAAGTTGGTGGACCCAAGACAATGATCTCTGGTGGTCCTAGTCTTCTTCTGACTGGAGCTGGTCCGACGGTTGAAGAAAGAGGAACTCTTGGTGGTGATGTTCTGTAGATAGATGATGGGATAGATTCGTTAGATGGAGCTGGTGAAGCAGGAACACTGACATCCTGGTGTTCTCCTGGTCCAACCTTCTGCTCTGATGTAGCTGGAGTAACTGTATCGATCTTTGGAGCTGTTGCGCCCTTTGCAGATGAAACTTGGAATGATTGTGCGTCGCGTGAATTGTTGGAGTACATATATACTTGAGGAGCATTTGGAGCGTTTGGTGTTTGAGAACTGGATGATGCGGCTCTGAATGAAGGAGCAATATCTCTTTCAATGCGTGGAACTTCAAATGGTGGTGGAACTGATGGAATAACGAGGACTTCAACTCTGACAACGGCTGGGGCGACATCTTTCTTTTCGCCTTCGACCTTTCTCATCTGGACTGGCTGGAGAGGCTTGAAGTTCTCTGCTGCGAATGAGTGAACTCTCTCGGAGTTGCTGAACATGTAAACTTGTGGTGCTTCTGGCTTGGAAACGCTGGAAGCTGATGTGACTGAGACATTGAGTGTCTCGAGATCGCCTGGGATAAGCGGAATGCGCAGTCTTGGCGGTCTGACTGATGTGTGATCCTGGACAGCTGGTGTCTCTGAGATCGGTGAGAATGGAATGCCCGACCTCTCGTTGTTCCACTCCTTGAGTTGTTTGCGTCTGTCCTTCTTTGGTGCTGGGATTGTGATGTGATATGCTGGGCCGTCTTCGAATGTTCTGAATGGCTGTGGAGCACCGTACATCTCGAGGATGGCGATCTCGATCTCCTTGAACTTGATCTCTGGCTTTGGTGGTGGAACTGGTGCTGGTGGCTCTGGCTTAGGAGCTGCATGGATATCAGCATCAGCTTCCTGGTTCTCTGGCTTATAGCCTGGGTTGTTCCTTGGATCATCGACACGCCATGGTGTTGGCTCGATGGCCATGACCTTTCTGTATTGCTCTCTGTCCATCACAGCTGGTTCGTTTGATGGTGGTGGAGGAGCTGCAACTGGTGGTGGAACTTGCTTTGGAGGTGGTGGAGGTGTTTCCTTTGGTGGTGGTGGAGCAACAACAGGTGGTGGAACTTGCTTTGGTGGTGCAACAACTGGTGGTGGAGGTGTTTCCTTTGGTGGTGGTGGAGCAACGACTGGTGGAGGTGGAACCTTCTTCTGCTCTGATGGCTCTGGAACGTGGACGATCTGTGGAGCATATGGAGCAGCAACTGGTGGTGGGATAGATGGGATGAATGGTGGCGGTGGAGCTTTGACAGGCTTGAAGCTGTATGAGTATGAATCTGATGACTCTGTTGGCTGCTTTGCCTGTAATGGCGGTGTCATCGGCTGTGGAACTGGTTCCTTCTTCTCCTCGACTTTTGGAGGGACAACTGGCATAACCTTGACTGGCTGTGGTCCACCTTCTGGTGCCTTTGGAACCCACTTCTTCTGCTCTCCTGGTTTCTCTTCCTCCTTCTTCTCTGCGGCTGCTGGTGGTGGAGGAGGAGGTGGTGGGGGTGCTGCACCTGATGACTGGGCTGGAGGAGGTGGTGGAGGTGTGTGCTTTGGCTCTTCCCTGATCATGACTTGTGGTGGTGGGATGTTGATTGGAGCTGGCTTCTTTGGTTCCTCCTTGACGACAGTGACTGTCTGAGTGACCTTGACCTCTTCAACCTTTGTCTGCTGGACTGGGGTTGGTGGTTCTGCTGGTTGTTCCTCGACAACAACAGACTTTGAGAGTGTTTCCTTGGCATTCGAGTACTGCATTGTCTCCATCATCTTCTGGAACTTGACAGCTTCGATCTCGTTTGGCTCCTTGGCCTCTGTCTTGAAGAGAAGGCCTGGCTTCTTTGCGACGTCGCCAAGAATTGGTGGGATGAAGAAAACGTACTGCATTGGGAAGATCTTTGGAGCAAAGAATGGATCGATGAGAGATCTCTGCTGGATTTCTTCAAGTGGGACTTGCTTATCACGATCTGATGAAGCAAAGATGGATGGTCTTGCTTCAGCTGGATAATCTGGAAGAATTCCGTAGATATCGCGGCTTTCCTCTTCGATGAGGATTCTTGGATAGATCTTGTGGAATCTCTCAACTTCTTCTGTGAGGTAGCCATTCTGGGCTTCTCTTGATCCGTAGTACATATCTCTGATTCTTCTTGTACTTGGCATGTTGAGTTTCTTGATGGCCTCTCTGAACTGCTTCTGCTTGAAGTCGTCTAGGCTGGCGTGCAATCTCTCGAGATCCTGGAATGGACGGCCGACAGCTTTGAGATATCTGACGGCAAGTAAGCTCTCCCATAATTCGTAGAACTTGTCGAGGGATTCGATTGATGTACTGTCAACGCTGACTTCACGAACTCTTCTTCTCTGGATGAATGCGCCAAGTTTGTTGAAACCTTCGGATGTAATGTACTGGCCGGAGATATCGATGACTGTAATCTCTGTGAACTCTTCGAGAATGATGAAGAGGCTTGAGATGAGCTTGTTCACGTTGGCAGAAGCATTGCCTCTCATTGAGAAGCCCCAAAGCTTCTTTGGGTCGCAGCTCTGAAGGAATACCTTGAGAGTATTGAGTGTTGATGCTGTAAAGATGTAATCAATAGCAAGGTAGTGAACTGGATTCTCCTTGAAGAGGAATTCACCGAGAGCTTGGGCGTATTTGTCTGAAATCTTGTTGCCGGACCAGTCAAGCTCATAGATGATCTTGCTGCGTGGGATTTCGTTAATTTGGTCGAAGAATGATTCCCAATGAGCGGATGGCATGTTCAAGTTGGCAAAGGAAATGTTCATGTGCCTGTTGAACGATGCAAGAGAGATGAAGAAAGCACGAAGAGCGGCAAATGTGAACTGGCAGTTTGCGAGGTCGATTGTTCTGAGGTTTGGTGGGATAATGAATGGCTCAACTTGCTGGCTCATGTCCTGTCCGCGAAGGCAGATCTCAGAGAGCATGAATGAGTTGTAGAAGTGTGGGATGCAGAAAACAGATGGCTTGTTCCACTGTGAAAGGGAATAAGCTGTAAGGAATCTCTCCAATTCGATGACCTTGCTGGAAAGAAGTGGTGTGTTTGGTTTCCAGAAGCCATCGAAAACGATTCCATCGATATCAAGAATTTCGACTGTTCTGAAGCATCTGCATCTGGCGAGAGCCATGATGATGAGCTCGTACTGCTCCTGTGTAAGCTCGCATTGCTTGACCTGGAACTTGATAACAGAGCAATCAAGTTTCTCGAACTGGGTGAAGATTTGGATCCATGTGTCTGTTGACAACTTGCAGTTGATGAAGCCAAAAGCAAAGGTCTGTCCATGGAACTTGTCAAAGCGGAGTTGATTTGGTGTCATAGTTTGATAATTAACAAATCTGATAGTTCTGATGTTGATTGCGTGCTTCAATGTCTTGTATGCGACATGGCAAACATAATCTGGAGCAACGTTATCGAAGTTAACCTGGTAAACATTGGAAAGTGAGCAAATTGGGACATATAATGCCTTTGGATCTTCTGGAAGAGGAACATGGCTTGGGATTGTGATAACATGAGAGTAGTTTTGATCTACCTGCTTGAAGAAGTCGATCAAACTTTCTTCTAAAGCGGATTGAGTAGCAACTGAAAGGCAGTAGTAGCGACGGACAGAGATGTCGTTTAACCTTGTTTCCTCTAAGTCGTGTGATTTCATGTAGCCACGAACTTTGATTGGATTAGTATCGTCAATGTGCTGGAAAAGAAGGGCGCGTGATCTAAGGATTTCACCAATAGCAATATCAATGTGATCAGCAACCATGAAGAGACACTTATGTTTGCTCTTAAGAGTTCTTCTTGTTTCGTTGATTTTCTCAATGTCCATTAAGTCATAAGTACTGATAAAGGCGCCAATCTTGTATCCACGAAAAGATTGTGGACGAAGAAGGTATAAACCTGCCATTGTGACAACGATGACGCATGTCTTTTGTTCTTTTGTAGCGGCAGGCATGATACCCTTTTCAGCATAGAGTATAGGAGCTAATGGATGATGCAATTCTGCTGGGAATTGCTTGATGTCGGATTCCTTGACAAAGATTTTCTCACTCATTAGCAATTTATGGCTGAAAACTGTCAATTATTCTTTTTTATCTCAATTAGTTTGCCAGTAAAAAAAATCAATATTTCATGATTTTGGCGATGTATTTATAATAAATATGTATATAAGGTATCTTTCTTTCACGTTCATTTTCTTGAAATGTCTTCCTATAAAATAAATTCAATTTACGAAATGTCATATTTTCTAAATATTGAACAATCCTTCGTTATTTCATGCATGCACAATATTCTTCATTGAAACACATTGATTACGAATTATGCAAAATTCCTCAATGAAGTTTTTATCTAACTACTCTAGAAATGACTCAGCATTTAATATCCTATGTACCTTAAAGTGCCGAATATAAATGTGAAATTTCTCATAGTCGCCAAAGAAATTGATTGATGACAAGGCCAGAGTATCAGCACATTTTGATTAGTAAATGCAAGTTTAATCTGATAAAAAAGACAATGACATAATGAATGTTGCTATTTAAAGTCCAAATTATATATTACAAACTATTTTTCTTGTTAAGTTGTAATTTTGAGCAGTTATGCATCCAGAAATACAATTTGCTGTTTATATTTAGCTACTCACAACTCAATAGACTCAATAATCAAGTTAATGAATTGATTTATCAATAATTGAAAATTGTTATCGCATTGACATTACGTATTGAAAGCAAAATAGCTTATAATGTTATGCCGCAAATACATGATTTTTTTTTATTAAATGTGAAATATGCATTTATTGCTATGATACTAGACGAGTGATTAGAAATACAGTATCACAGCTTAAATTCATTATGAGCCTATTCAGAACAGAATGATTTCAAGAACTTCTATAAAATTGAGCACAATATTTTAAAGACTTGTATCATATATGTGCAAGTATTCAATTTTCAACATGTGACTTGTAATATTCAAGTATTCTATTCGTTTAGCCAGCATTCGGAGATCATTCCGACCACTTCAATACAAATCTACTTTTAAAAAACGGCAGTACTTATTGTTTAAGGAATGGTTTTGCTATAGGAGACATAAAAATTAGTCAAGGCCGTCAGAAAAAATCGGTATCGAGAAAAGTGACAAAATCCGAAATAAAAACCGTAATTTCATTTTGAGACGAAATCACATAGAATATTTCATATTATACGATTTAGTTAAATTGCTATTCGAGATAAAAATATAAAATTTTCACTTTTTCGTTCAATTTTTCGCATTCACAATTTATTATCCAATGACTAAGTTTGAATCTGTTTCTAAAACATCTATCATCGATTTGATAGGAATTGCGTTAGAAACAGGATTCAACTCTGCCAAACAGGTATCTGAGCTTATGGGAGCTGATGAAGAGACATTAATAGCACAAAGTAGAGCTACAGCTTATTTACCTTCAAATTCGATTACAAACGCTAATAATTTGGATGACATCATTAAGCATGCTACCAATAAGATAGAATCCCTTCTTGAAGAAATTAAAAACGAAAATTCAGCAGATTTATTTTTACAAATTGGACGTTGCTACTATATTATTGGAGATTTCCCAAATACCTACGCATCCTTCATTTCAGCTTCACGCTACGATCCTGAAAAATTCACAAATTCGGACTGGTACTATTTTGGCTCTTTGCATCAACACTTCACAGGTGATAATAAAGCACTTGAATGCTTTAGCAAAGTTGATCAAGGGAAATTATCTAAAAAGCAACTGAAAGATTTCAAAATGAGATTTGCTATTTCATATCGTCATTCGAAGAAAACTGACTTTGCGTTACAATTGTTTAATTCTTTACTGAACGATCCTCCAGAAAAATTAACAAAAGAGGATATTTTATTGCAAATCGCAATGACACATTACAAATCTCTAAGAATTGAAGATTCATTCAACCAAATCCAATCATTACTAAAAACATTTCCGAATAATCAATATCTCATTCGTGAAAAGGTTATTCATCAATTCTTGACCTGCACAACACAGGATTTGAACAGTATATTACCAGAAATCTTAGATGTTTATAAGCAATATCCTGATTATTACATCCAATTAGTTCTTGCCAGAATTTATTATTTTTTGGGTTCCTATTTAGTTTCGTACGAATACTTTAAAGGATGCCTTGATTTTTGGTCAGATCATCCCCCGTTTTGGGTTGCCCTCGGATTGCTTTATTTTCAAAATAGACAACATGATCATGCTGCCGTTGCTTTCCAAAGAGCTATTTACATGAAACAGACAAGTAGATCAGCGTGGCTTAACCTTGGTCTTGTTTTCGAAGAGAAAAGAGAACTAGAAAACGCTATAAACATATACAGAACTGGCGCTAAACAATGCAACCATCCGGACTTCATAAATAGGATAAATAGAAAGGGAGAATCAAATCTGATCGAAGTGGATGACAATGACTTACTCGAACAAGTTCCAGAAATGGTGGAAAAAAAGTATCTCAGAACAATTCCTGTTATAGATACAAAATTCATTGGAAAGAATCGTAGTAATGAGTTCATCGATCCATTATTCCAATCTTTGTCTATTTTTTAATAATTCAGCAAAATTTTGTTCAAATGTCTTGAAAAATATTCTTCAGCAATAGAATATGCCATTAACATGTATCTATTTTGTAAGTATTTTGTTTTATTTAAAGGGAAACGTGTATTTTATTCAATATATTTTGTAATTATGCTAACAACAACTATAACTATCTTCAATTTAAACTCACTCATATGTACAATAATGTGGATAGTTTAAAGTTCGAAATTAAGATTAATTTGTCAGAACATATTTAGATCTATTATTAAATACAATTTCTGCAATAGAATCAATGCTACTCTGACAGATAAAGATACAATTGATCAATGATTAGCCAAAATTCGAATATTTTTAGGGCGATCATATCCTCAAAATCAATTGAAAACAGCATTTTTGTCATTTTTGAATCCAAAAAGTACTAAAACATGGTTATTAATAACGAAACTTCAAAATTTGATATAAATTTTATGAAGTTTATCGTATTGTAAAATATGAGTCAACCTGATTTTCACCAACTAGTAGATCAAATAACACAACAATACGACCAGCTTCTAAAAGAAAACGTTGAGTTGAAATCAGAGCTCGCTTCTTTAAAAGCTCAACTTTCAGCGCAAAGATCTGAAACAAATAATACACCAAAAAGATCAGAGAAAAACAATACAGAGAATAAATATCAACTCACTAGAAAGTCTTCGAAACCATTTTGGCAGACAAAACTAAAAACAACAGTAGAATGGCAAAGTTTGCAAGTAGATTTTTCAGATTCTATCACAGCAGCTCATGTTTCATCGGATGGTATTTATTCATTTGGTACTGTAGACTCAAATATATACTTATATTGCCCAGATTCTGCAATAGTTACAGCAACAGTGGATGGACTTAAAGGAGCCATCAATTCTATTAAGTCAGATAGCACTACTGGAATATATGCATCATGCTCAGGTGATGGAAATATTCATATTTGGAGTCCAAAATCAACTTCACAATTTTTCCAAGGATTTAGAAGGCAAAGCATGGGCCAAGACGTTATCCAATGCAATACAATTCTACAAAAGCATACAGCTCCCGCCACTGATATAACATGGCTCGGAGATACCGGATTACTTGTTAGTGGCTCATGGGATAAGCAAGTTTGCGTTTGGGATGTTGTTCACTCCTCGTGTATCAAGTCTGATGACCTTAGACATCAAATAAATACACTTGATTCGTATCAAACTTATTATATAGCAGGATTGCAAAATGGAGAGATTGCATACCTAGATAAGAACTCACAGGATGCTGAAGCAATCACTTTCAACCACGGAAAGTCAATTGTAACAAGAGTCAAATTTATTGATGATTCTTCCTTCATCAGTGGTGGATCTGACTCTAAAATCAAAGAATGGGATATTAGACAACCACATCAGCCACTTGTAGAAGTTGATATCGACCAAGTTCCAACAAAATTTGATGTCAGAGGCTTCGACGTGTTGATTCCGTCAGAAGTAGGAAGAATGAGAATCCTTGACTTGAATTCGAAGGATATTACTCTAATTGAGAAATCTCCATTCTCTTATAGCATTTCCGAAGTCGTTTACCTTGACGATAACTTCTTCCTTGCAGCAAGTTGGGATGGACAAGCAGCAACAGGTAAAATTGCTCAGTAACATGTTTATATTTAAAATGATTTTTGTTTTTTTTTCTAAACTATTTTTTCTTTTCTTTTAAAAAGAGTATATCTTTCACATGAAAAACTTTTTTATTTGATAGATGTAAATAAACTCAAAACAAATAAATTTTAATAATTACATATTAATAGCTTCTTCATTAGCTGCTGCAATGTCAATGAGCTTCTTTTGCATATCAGCTCTATGGTTCATTAGTTTTCTATAGTGATACTTTAAAAAGTCGCAGATTATTCCGGAATATTTTTCGAAGTAGGGCTTTTCAAAGCGATTGTAGGCTTTTCCAATCAATTCGGTGTTAACTAAAAGGAAGAAGCTAAGTAATCCCAATTTGATATAATACCATTGAACTGGAAGATGAATTAAAGATCTGATAAGTTCTTCAGCTTTGATAAAGAATATCATAAAGAGCCAGTATTTGAGCCAAAGCTTTTCTTCTTCAATATCTGTGGATTGGAAAGATTCAAATGTCTTGTAGGCTGGAACTAAGTATGCAAAGACATTATAAATTAATAAACCGATGAATGAAGTAGAGAAGTCTGCAAGTATGGATGTGTGTCTATGTGAATGGCGAGCCATTTCGAAAAATGATTTGGTAAAATTTTGCTTGGATTTTTATTGAGAGAAATTTTACCGTACGTTAAAAATTCTCAAATGTTTTTGTGGAATAAATTACACCTATCAATTCGAAATCATCTGCCTAAAATTTTGTCAGAGCCATATTGCTTATTTCAGAGGAACATCATCGCAAGAGTAGGTGACAAAAGTGCATACTCTTAAACAACCGTCGGATTTCCGGGTGAAATCGTGACACACTTTCGTCTTTCGTAGGCAGTGGTGGTTGTTACAAAAGGTAACTTCGAATGTAGCGTGAAATCTGCAAAAAAAAATTCTGAAATTTGAATGGATAACACAAAAATTGAATAGTTTACGTCAATAAAAAAGAGAAAAATGAAGTCAATGTGTCTCGAACCTGGGACTTAGAGCAGCAATCACACTGTTTATCCCATTACACTACATGCATCTCTCACCTCAGTCAATGAGATCAACTATATGATAACTTTTTCCCCATTATATTCTTGTGGAAAAGTGACAAATAGCAACTTTGACCCTCTCTCAATTACACCTATCAATTCGAAATCATCTGCCTAAAATTTTGTCAGAGCCATATTGCTTATTTCAGAGGAACATCATCGCAATGAATTCCTCAAAAGAATATAAATTTTCAATATATATCTAAAGAAATAAGTTTAGGCAAGCACAGCATACTTTATTCAAGCACTAGAGATTCAATTTTGAGATAAACCTATTTGATCAGAGGAAAAAGAAGGAATTTATATTTTCTTACTCTGATAATAATGCGCATTGCATATTAACTATACCATAGATAATTATGCAATTATGGACTATTTATTTCTCTAATTGACGACTTGGAATATAATGCCGTAAATATAGTTTACAAATAGCTTCTTTAAGCTAACATAACTATTTCACATGTCAATGGCATAGTTCTTGATATCATGATTAGTAGAATCATCCAAGAATTGTAAGAAAGCGAAGATCATCATATACCAGTATTCTTGGATCTGAAATAATCAAAGTTTTATTCAGCAATTTTGAACTGCGTGATTTGAATAAATAAAGCTCTCGCTTCATCTATTTTCATTCATATTTATTATATATTCATCATCTCTATATATCTTTATGACTCTTCGGTAATCGTTGAATGGTTGTTCCATAGTGACCAAATAATCATCATTGAAGACAATTTTTTTGGTTGCTTTTTTTATAGTGAAACAAACCAATTGAAGATTACTTCTCTCCTTTTGCCGATAAATCCCGGTTGCATAAATGAAATCATGTTTGAATGACTTTCCAAAATATTGAATATGATTTTAGTTTGAGAAGTCAGAATTAAGCGAGTCTCAAATATTTAAATCAGCTGATCTCAAATAATCGTCTACCTAGGTCAGCATCTTTGAAAAAGACGGAAATAAATTATACAATATGCAATAAACTATAGAAAATTTTATTCCAAAACTGATTTATTAAATTCTGCAATCAACGGCCTTTTTGCCACCATGGGCTTTAAGAATTTGTTTGACTTCTTCATTACCATATTCAATTGCAACATCAAGAGGTGTTTGGCCAGTATCACCTTTATTCACTACTTTAGTTAAAGCATTGAGATTAGCTCCATGTGCTATGAGGAATTCGACAATTTCTGTGTTATTACACTGTGCAGCTGAATGAAGCGCTGTTTTTCCATCATAGCAAATTGCATTGATATCTACACCTTTCGCAAGAACATATTCGACAACCGATGGAAGACCAAATAATGGTGAACAAACGAAAAAGAAACTCTTTTGTTCGGAATCATCTAAGTATAGTTCAACGCCTTCCAAAAATGCTTCAAGATTAGCGTACATGGCAGCATCTTCTGCATCAATATCAAATTTGTACTTTTCACGCAAAAATGGAATAGCTTTATTGTTATGAGCCTTGACTGCAAAATTCATTGAAAGAAATGGAACTTTTTTGTGAAAGTTTTCCAGACAATCTTTAACAATATCAGGTTGTCCGCGCAAAAATGCTATGTAAAAGCATTCTGGTGTGATTTCAGCATGGAATTTGGATCTGAAATACATAAAACACTGAACTGATCCATGATAACTGCACATTGTAAGCAAATCATATCCTTCAAGGAATTCATAAAAAGGATTTTCCATTTTTTGCTTATCATCGAATCCGTCGGCTTCAGCAATTTCTGTTACTCTGCGAATATCATCGTCCATGATAGCACGATAAAGTGTGTTTTCTTTATGAACTTCAATGATAGGTTTGATTGATTTAAAATCCCAGAATTTATGATATGGGTCCTTGTCTAAGCGGATTCCATATTTCTTATATGCTAAATAGTTGTAAATTGGGTAAATGCCTTTAGCACCTTTTGGTTGATAATCGTGATAAATTGTTTGAAAAATGGCCCAATATGACTTTGCGTATTTGCAATTTAACTTGCTTGCGCATGAAATCAGTCTGAGAATATGTGATGCTGTAAGACTTCCTCTATCAATCAAGTAATATTTAATATTGCCGCAAAGTTTTGAAATTTTGTCTGAATCATAAATGTGCAGAGTAAACAATGCATTGGTCGTGTCTACATATCCCTTATTTGCCTCAAGGATCTGTTCTCTCGATAACTCGCTCATATCCGAAATGAAATTTCGTTTACATATTTTTATATTTGAAATAACAAGTAAAGAGATAATGTACATCAAGATTTATAATTGATTTTTGGAAAGAGGCAACGTTTTTTTTTCATTCAAATATTACTTTACAATTATCGTCTTTTGACTATTCGAAAATAAAAACTCAAATCACAACAGTAGAGATTTGGAAAAATAAATCCTTGTGCACACAATATGTATGATTAAGTTACTTAATTTAAGTATATTAATCATGCAAATTCATTCGATATTTCGTTCATAAATCGCAATTGATATAGGGTGTCCAAAGGTGTGTTTAGCACAAACCTGAATACTGCGAATAGAAATAAACAAGTTACATATATATAAAGTTTATTTAAATATAATCACCATTGGATTCAATCACGCGTTCGCAGCGATCGATCCAGGCTTGAAAGACACGCTTTAAATCATCATGAGAAAATTGCTCAAATTGCTCTCTTACAAAATTTTCAAGATCATCTGGACTCGCGAATTCGCGTCCTTCAGCTCTCTTTTTTAGCGTGCCGAATAAATAAAAGTCAGAGGGTGCAATATCAGGTGAATAAATTGGGTTTGGAACAACTTTGACATTGTTTTCCACCAAGTAATTCATTACCTTATGACTTTTGTGAACTCTTGAATTATCAAAATGAATTGCAAACTTTTGTTTTTGTTGTTTGGATTTCTCAAACTCATCAGAATTGATAATTTGAGTAAGAACATTGTCAATTAGATACTGAGCATTCATCGTATTAGTTTTTTGAAGAATATCAATTGCGATGATGCCATTCACGCCCCAAAAAACCGACAACATCATCATTGGTGTGTCAATTTTTTTCTTCGGGAATGTTTGCGGATTTTCATCCTTCGGGATCCACATGATTTTGGCTTCTGTTGCATAGTGAAACCAAGACTCGTCCCCTGTTACTAAAAAGCGAAACTTCTTGGATTGATACGCACCCAATATAGAGAGGAGCTCTTTCGAAGATTGGACTCTAGATTTTTTTGAACTGAATTAAGGTTGTGCGGAACCCAACGTGTATACGCTAGTTTGTAGTTCAAATAATTGTGCAGATAATAACTGACTGTTGTACGTGGTATCTTTGTCATCTCCTCTATCCTTCTGAGTGATGCTCTTGGGTCTTCATCTAGCGCTTGAAGAATTGCTTTGATTTTTCTTTGATCCGGCAATTTTTTGTCAATTTTTATGATGGGCGCCTTTTTGTTCATGAAGTGATACATCCTAACATGATACGTTACAGTGGAATAGCTAGGAGCATCCATACCGAAGCATTTTACCAATGTCTCGTAGATTTTTTTACAGTCTTTGCATTTTTTTGCAAGAGCGAGGATGTTTTCTTTATGATTCATTAAAAAAATGAAAAAAATCCCGCCAAAATTTCCCGCGAAACCGCCTCTTGTCTCAAAATTCATTTTATATCCCGGCATGGCGCCAAAATACAACATACTCATCATATACATATATTCATATTTTTTATTATATATTTATAATCAGCATATATCTCCTTTAATAGTCTCATATAGAGCGCTGTGCTAAACGCACCTTTGGACACCCTATATCCATGAAGAAAAATTATATTTTTAAATGTGCACTTACGCCAGAAAGACGATGCCTTCAATTCTATTGCTTAAGATTAACCTTCATTGATGCTTCATGGGAGTACGTAGACCCTTAAATTAATAGAATAGAATGTAAGACTCAAGTTAATTGTTGTACCGAAGATGTATTTTTCTTTTTTCGTCTTTTCCATTTACATAAACCCAATGGGAAAGATCAAATTCAACTATTGCTATACTATTTGCTAATGCAAAGTAATGGTGAGAAATTTTACAATAATGAAATATGAATTCAAATATTTCTTTCCTATTATAGTGGGGTGCGTTGAGGAAAATCTGACACAATTTTTTTTCTTTTTGAGTATTTTTTTCTTATTTTCCTCAAGCTGTGCTCTTTAAAAGTGTGATATTATATGAGCATATATGCTATACTATATGTGTAAAATGTATGTATTATATACATGCATGTTTTTATTAATTTAATGTGAAGATCTCGAAATCTTTGATTGCAAAAAAATCTCAAGACTTGAAGCAGCTTGGAGTGAATACATATTCTTTACAGTGAGAGAGATATTTCTGCACTACATTTAGCTCTTCATCGCAACCAAGTGAGTCTCTGAAGTTATGTAAAATCCGAATTTTTTTACTTTATTCACAGACTAGTGAGAGCGACATCTCAGATCAGATAAAAACTATGATGTATAGATAATATATCTTGAGTGTGTTATATCTTCTGCAGTAATCACATTGCTATCAGTGTTATGTGTAGAGCTTTATTGGAATATGTCAATTTTTGCATGTGAATTTTTTGATGCAGACAAATCCATAATACCTCTGAATAGGCAAAAAATAGTAATATATACGAATATGGTGGTGTGTGTAATATATGATTTATTAGGTTTTAAATTGGTATTAGTCATATTTATGGTGACATTTTTTCACATTTTTCATTATTAAAAAAAATTCAAATTTTGTTTTCGATATTAATGACCAGTGCTTTTCTCTGATCAATTTCACCTGACAATATTATAAGTAATTAGTGTACATTATAATTATATTATTGTTTTTCCCTTACAGGCTCAACTCCTCCGTTGAAATCCAAACTGCTTAAAAAATTTGACAATTTTTTTCTAGTTCTCATATTGAAGAGATATCACTATCTTGGTTGGGAAAGAGTGATATGATATTAATCATTATAATAAACAGAAGTTATAATTCACTGAAAGTATATGATGAGATGGTAAATTTATAAAAATTAGTTTAGATATGTGAATTTTTTTAATAATGAAAAATGTGAAAAAATGTCACCATAAGATATGACTAATACCAATTTAAACCTAATAAATCATATATTACACACACCACCATATTCGTATATATTACTATTTTTTGCCTATTCAGAGGTATTATGGATTTGTCTGCATCAAAAAATTCACATGCAAAAATTGACATATTCCAATAAAGCTCTACACATAACACTGATAGCAATGTGATTACTGCAGAAGATATAACACACTCAAGATATATTATCTATACATCATAGTTTTTATCTGATCTGAGATGTCGCTCTCACTAGTCTGTGAATAAAGTAAAAAAATTCGGATTTTACATAACTTCAGAGACTCACTTGGTTGCGATGAAGAGCTAAATGTAGTGCAGAAATATCTCTCTCACTGTAAAGAATATGTATTCACTCCAAGCTGCTTCAAGTCTTGAGATTTTTTTGCAATCAAAGATTTCGAGATCTTCACATTAAATTAATAAAAACATGCATGTATATAATACATACATTTTACACATATAGTATAGCATATATGCTCATATAATATCACACTTTTAAAGAGCACAGCTTGAGGAAAATAAGAAAAAATACTCAAAAAGAAAAAAAATTGTGTCAGATTTTCCTCAACGCACCATTTTCCGCTAACGCACCCCACTATAGATTTTTTTTTGAAAAACGAAGAGGAGTTTTCAATAGTTTTCTTTTGCATGATCTTTTACGCTATGGGAAATAATGCATCAAATCCTCATTTAACTATTTCTGCTGCAAAATGAAGTGTTGCTTTTCCATTTTCATTTTTTGCATCATTGTCTTCAACTGTTTATTCATTTATGAAGAAATGTTGTCTGCCTCAGACAAATCAAGTATTCTAAAGTTATTTGATTTGGCAATCTTCATATATTAGTTGGTATATTTCTTAAGTCCTGAAAATTTAGTTCGGAGTAAATTGACTATTATATAATAGAACTGATAATGAACAAACATAGTCTCAATCAGCAAATCAGAGACATATATGAGGAAAAATTATGGTAAATGTATATAAAAAAATGCAAAATTTATCTCAGAAAAATAGAAAATTCAAATATAATAAAATAAATAAAAAGAACTTAATGAATTACAAATTTCTTATTAGCTAAATCTTGAAGATACTTTTCTGGAACACCTTCCGCACGAAGCATAGCGAGCTTCTCCTGGCGGATTGCTTCAATTCTATCAATGTAGTCTTGTCTTTCCTCAGCCATATGTTGCTGATCGTCGAGATGTACAAGTGGGGCCATCTGTTTCTGTAATCTCTTTGTTTCGATTTCCTGTTGTAACTGGCGATTGTACTCGTCCTGAGCGGCCTTCTTCCTTGCGGCCTCTGCTTCTCTTGCAGCCTTTTCTTCATCCCATTTCTTCTTTGCGCGTTCGAATTCCTGCTTTTCGATGTTTGCAAGCTGAATAAGACGCTTCTGCTTAAGACGAAGGAATTCATTGCGATTATCAATGATCATCTGGCGTTCTTCTTCCTTCTTCTTGGCTAATTCAAGTTCACGTTGACGTTCTTTACGTTCCTTCTCTTCAGAAACACGGCGAGCACGGAGCTCATCTTCCTGTGCTTGTGTATCAATAAGACGTTGCTGGTTCTTACGAATCTCTGAAATTTCACGTTCTTTAGCAGCTTTTCTTTCAGCTACCTGTCTTTCGTATTCTTCTTCCTGCGCTGCTTTCTTTTTGTTGTATTCGATAATAGCGTTGACTTCTTGGATATCCCGCTCACGTTCTTTATGTTTTCTAACGATTGACTGTTTGTTTGCTTCAAGGCATTCTTGAAGGAATTCCTGCTGCCTCTGTTTCTTTTCTTGAGCAAGGCGCTGCTCCTCTTCAAGAGCGGCTTGATTTGCTTCTTTCATTTCAGCAATTTCCTTTGCACGGCGATCGGCTTCTATCTTAGCAAGTATTTTTCTGTCGTTAATCTGCTTTAAAATCATTTGGGCGCCAAGCTTTCTCTGTTCTTTAAGGGCGCTTTCACGTTCGTTGTAAATTTGAACTGCTCTTTGGCGTTCAGCTTCAAGCTTTTCGGCTTGTTGCTTTTCCATGGCAGCTTCTTCCTCTTTCTTCTTCTTGTGAAGAATTAATTCTGCATCACGCATAGCACGAACACGGGCTGCGGCAACTTCTTGGTTCATAAGCTTAACTTCATCTAATTCTTCGTTAGCTTTTGACCTTGCAATGGCGAGCTGACGTTCGTGTTCTGCGGATTGTAATTGTGTTGTCTGTTGCTTAAGCATTTGTTGATGTTTTTGCTCGGCTTCAATAATATTGGTACGCTTCATATCGATTGCTTTCATTGTTTGTAACTTTTCCTCTTCTTCTTTTTGAGTTCTTTCTAATACTTGCGCAGGAGTTAAAAATTTAGACTGGCGTTTAGTTCTTTCGTATTCCTCTTGAGTAAGTATAACTGCATCCCCAGATATATTACTAATCCGAGTGTTATATCTTGGGTCACGTGTTCCTAACATCTGAATAACGTACTGAAAACTGCCACTGAGTTTCAATTTGCTTTACTCTTTTTGATTATTTTTGATATATTTGATATGTATATGCTTGAGAAATTTATTATTTTTAATTCCTGTGAAAAATCTATATTAACGAATTTCATTTTAGTAATTCCGTTTTTACTGAAAATTGCCACATTACCAGCCAAATGCGGTCAATAAATGTATATCTTTTGTAACCTATATATGAGGTATATGGTCAACTGAATTGCGAATCATTTGGCCTTTATTTCTGCATTTACAATTATTATCTTTGAATTTATGAGCCAACTAAAGTATCATATATACATGCCCCAATCTGATATTTATCCAAACTTATATTGCGTCGAAAATAGGCATGATATTATATATTGTACATTAAATATGCATTATATGTCATTGAGCACTTGAAATATATGGATAAATTTCTCATATTTAGATAATATCAAAGTGCCATTTCTGATATATAAACAGGAAAGATAATTTACATATTTCTATCATAATTTTTGGTGCAAAATAGCTTAAAACTTTGAGTTTATACTTGGGAAATCGAAAAACGTTATAATCATATTCCAATACAAAACATTTTAACAAAACAAAGATATAACAATAACAAACTAACAAACATTATTATACATTAGCGCTTAATTAAAAAAGTTGCTGCGATTTATCTTGGTAGGCAGTCTGGGAGTTGTATTATCTAAGATCTGCTTTAAATTATTTCCACGTGATGGTGATATTTCCTCACTAGGAATATCATACTTCTCTTCTTCATTTTCAGCGGCTAATGATTCCTCCATTGAATTCTTTTTTTCGTCAAGTTCTTCTAATGCTTTTTTAGCTTTTTCAATGCGATCTTTAAGATTCTGCATGTCTTCAATCTTCGTGGGTATATTTTCTGGTATTTGGCGCGTTAATAATTTTTTAGCTTCGTCATATTCTTCAACTAATCCATGCAAACGCTGATCAACAGTCCTTAATTCTGCTTCTAAAACTGCTTTACTGTCTTCATACATTGTGCGCATCTTTTCTATTCTGATTTTGTGTTCGTTATCATGTTTTTTGAGAGAATCATCTACGATTTGACTCCATGCATCTTGATCATCTATGTGACTGTCATTTTTATCCATTAAAATAATACTATTTCCGAGAAATTTTTTTTGTTCATTTTGAATTTGGGCTTTTTGCACAGAAATTGCTAAAGTTTCCTCCACGCAAGAAACATTTGTATAGGCTGCAGATAGAGCAGCGTTCCAGGATATATTATCTTTGTTAATTTCATCCTTAGTTTTCTCCTCCATCGCTTAACGTATAAAACAAAGGTGACAAGAAGGAAAAGTGTCAATGAATTTTACACGCCTTTTGATGGTTGATTATCAGGGGGATTTTGCAAGGCTGAATACACAATCCTTTGATATACTAGCTTAATTCTTTAGTTTGAGAAGGGCAAATGTGTGAGAAGCATCTTTTCTAAATTGCTCAATAAAACAAAATTCAATTCAGAGAGACATGCAATACACAAATACCATTTCTACCACATTTTATGATTGAACATTCAATTATGAGCATTTTTTTGACCGTCAATATTAATATGAATTCGGAGTCTTGATTTATTTTGGATAACATAGTGCATTCATGCACATTTTTAGCAAGACATATAATTTATTGATGTATAATACATCAAAGATGGAGAAAACTATTTGGTGTAATAATCACCCAAAAGTAATGACTCTATATTTGCTATTGAAGAGTTCATTCAGTCTCTATCAAAACTAATACTATTTTATAAGAGGCCTTCATATTATAGGGACAATAGATCTCGACTGAATTAGTCGAATGAAAATATGATTAATATCAATGTCTAGAGAAATAATATGGATATCATACTATCGCTTGTTATATTTTTCCATGAAAGAACTAATTATTTTGCTCATTACCATATTACAATAGATGTATTATGTTTAAAATACGCTTAAAAACTGTCGGAAATGTTAAATAACTAATTATTTGGGATAATTAGGAAGTGTTGAATGTCTATTGGCATGACATTAGCAATTGAGAGGATTTTTCGACATCGGTAAAATTTTTGTTGGAAAAATTGAAGAGTACCCAAGAACAAAAGCATCAGATTGGTGTAGAAAATAAGAATATTTGATTAAAATTAGATTATATAGATTTTTTGGATTTGGCAATTTTAAAGGGCGTAGGGATTTTAAAATTATTAAATGTAATAATAGTTACTGACCAAGTTAAGCATAAATACCAAATTATACGCAAAAAAGTTTCGATCTTTTTCGAAAAATTTTTTGTCTCAAAATGCGGATCGCGGATATGAATGATTATATTGTTGTAAACAGAAATTCATCAAAAGTGACACCTCAGAAAAGCTAAAATATTGAATTTTTGGAACTTTTGATAGAGCACGTTTTTAAATATTAATTAAAGTAAATGTATATTTGGTAAAGATTCTTTTTAATAAAAAATAAAATTTTGAAGAAGAACACAAAATCTTCTGAAAAATAATATCACATAAACTCATATTATTTTCTAATATATAACTATTTTATATAAAAATCAAATTCAATGATCTTAAAAGCGAAGGTAAACCTCAAAATTTACGAATATAATGAGTGGGAATATAATGCTTATCTATCATAAAACCATATGAAATATCAATTTTTGCTTTACGCCTAATTTTTGACGACAATTAGCAAAAAATGTTAAATGTTTACACTCAGTCCATTTGAATATGAAAAATAAAATTGACTTTGATTAAATGTTTTTATTTATCATGCAATTCTTCTTGCGACCAAAGATTTGAATCAAATTTCAAAAAATAAGATAGCTTAAAAAATAATATACGGTAGTGTTTACTAATAGATGAATAGTATATAAATTCTATTAAAATGGATTTGATCCAAAAAAATATATAAAATTTGATCATAAATAAAATCGTTTTAAATTACTTCTTCATTTAAATTATAACAATTATTTTTGGTTTTATATTTTTTTGGATCAAATCCATTTTAATAGAATTTATATACTATTCATCTATTAGTAAACACTACCGTATATTATTTTTTAAGCTATCTTATTTTTTGAAATTTGATTCAAATCTTTGGTCGCAAGAAGAATTGCATGATAAATAAAAACATTTAATCAAAGTCAATTTTATTTTTCATATTCAAATGGACTGAGTGTAAACATTTAACATTTTTGCTAATTGTCGTCAAAAATTAGGCGTAAAGCAAAAATTGATATTTCATATGGTTTTATGATAGATAAGCATTATATTCCCACTCATTATATTCGTAAATTTTGAGGTTTACCTTCGCTTTTAAGATCATTGAATTTGATTTTTATATAAAATAGTTATATATTAGAAAATAATATGAGTTTATGTGATATTATTTTTCAGAAGATTTCATTCTATATGACTATGAAAAGTACTCTCAAAACTAACTTTTTCTTAATTATAATTAAATCTAGAATATTGTATTATGCTTAGTATTATTTCATTTTTCTCATTCAATTTAGAATTTACAAATGTCAAAAAATTGAGAGTTGTCACTTTTGATGAATTTCTGTTTATTACAATATAGCTCTATTGTATCATAATAGGAACGAGTTTGTGTTTAGCCAAGGCATTAATGAGAGTTTGACAGGATAAAATGATAGCCAAATTTCAATCTGCTTTCAATTTTTTTCGTTTAAGATGTTGGATGACATATACTAATTCATCATTATTTTATTAAAATAATTTTGAAAGAAAAGCTATATGTCACTTTTCCCATCGAAATGGTCAAAATTGAGAAAGATGAATCATTCTTTGTGAAAAGCTAAAAAATTCAAAATCAAAAATCATGCTTGTGACATGAAATAAATGCTATACGCGTGATGACCACTTCTTCTATCAATTTTATTGAATGAAGCCCTATCAAAAATTTTCATGGGAATAAAAAGTGCCAATTTAACTCATTCTTAAATCAATGCAAGTTTATATCCATACCCATGATAACCAGATCCACCACAGGGTATTCTCTCACAACGACCCAATCCAGCTTGTTAGAGATACAGTTTCCTGCCAAACACCATCTGTTTTGTTGTACAACAACACCGTCCTCGTTCCAACAATGCCATTTGGTTTCTATAACATTCAAAATGGTTCCCACATCTTTATCATCCCAAAGATCAACACACAGCCTGCTGAACCAAGGAGACAACCACAATTCTCCCCCAAGGCAATCGAAGATATTAAGAGAGAAGCTGAGAGAATAAAAGATGTCATGTACTCGAAGATTGATAACACACCTCAATACTTCGGTAAGATCGTCAAAAGATTCAATGGCATCAAGAGAACCGAGAAGCTTGAAGAACAGAAAGTCTCTCTCGTCGTTCCATCCCAGCTTTCAAAGCCATCAGATTGCGCATTACCAAAGTTCTGGTAAGCTATTATATTAGAGTTGAGTTCAGTTCTGACTCATAATATATATACCGTTGAGTCTAACTAACTCATTATATTATTTGTTTATATTAAACTTTCTATCCTTTCTATCCCTAATTTTCTCATATTTTTATCTAAAAAAAGATTTTCGGGGTTTATCTTTCAGGCATAAAAATGTTCCAGTGTAGTACGGGAAAAAACAAAGAACGTTCCGATCTGTCATGAAAAATTTTATTTTGATAATTCATCCTTCGATACGAATAAGACAAGCCACATATTATATTATAAACAATATATAATAATGAATTTCGATAGTTAAATGTGATCTATAGCTATTTTTGTCCAAATTATATTTTTGTTTCGTTGTGGAATTAAACTTATGAAGTTTTAAATATATTATCTTATGCCAAATTGATTTTCATAGTCTGTCATCGATCTAAATAAGTTTTTCGGTTCAAAGATATCACAAATCCTGTCTAAAAGCTTTAATATTTAAGGGATAGTTTATTCGTCTAATGTGTAATCTTATTGTACTATATTTCTTGGATAATGTATTCAATCATTGAAGTAGTAGGATATGACGGGTTTAGTGACTTTTTTTGTTACATCTATATATAGACGATGCATTAAAATATATTTATTTATAAATCATTAAAAAAATTAAAGTTATTTTTAAAATAATTTATTTTTTTATCTTTTATAAAAGAAGCTATATATAGATGATGTCAGATATTCCGCGATTAATTAAACATTGTTTAAATCCTGAATGGGTTAAACTTCAATTTAAAAATGAAGATTGCAACGGGTTTAAATATTATCCATGTAAAATTTTAGAACTTGGTAACGAAAAACTTCAGAAAAAATTAAACGAAAGACTATCAAAAGATAAAGTTGAAAGAGTAAATAAACTCGCTAAAGGTAATGGTAATGATGAAGAAGAATTTGATGAGTTCAACATTGAACTTTAAGAAACTAATGATTATTTGAATTTATGAAATCAATTATTTGATTCATTCTTTCTTCAATCTCTTCTATTCTTTTTGTTAAATCATCAATTTTCAGTAATGAGGTGATTCTTGATTGAGGAATAGATTTCAAACTAACCACTCCTTTTATTTTTGAAATTTTGAATCCATCAACTTTAAACATTTTATTCAATTTACACATTGTCAATTCTTCAAATAATTTTTTATTATTAGCATAATAGTCATTAAATTCTTCAACAGATGAAAAAATTTTTATTTCAGTAATTGGTTTAAGGATACCCTTACGTGTCAGATTTTTTGCGCATACGAAGAAGTCATGCTAGACATGAGCTATAAACCTGAAATTTTAGCAACATATTTAAAACTTTTTAAACTACAATACACTTTAATATTCAAGAACAAAAATATTCTTTTTAGAAATTACATAATTATTTTATGTGAAATCTATATAAAAACATATTTTGCGAGCGTAACTTTTTTCTTTATAAGCACCTTATATGACTGATAAACTGTGAAGGCACATAATTGTTAATTCATAGAGTTGATATGTTTCCAAAATTGAGAGGAAATTTGAAAATTGAATACCCTTTCAATTCAATTTTCAAAAGATATCAGCTCCTTCAATAATTGAAGGACGATTTTGATCATTTGCTCTTAAAACAAGTATGCCATGGAGAAAAAAGTTACGCTCGCAAATCTGAAATATAACTATCATATAAAAAAATTAAATTTCTAATTTTTACTCTATAGATATTATTGGCCACTTGTGTAATGCATAAAAGTTTATGTCATATGCATACATTTGGAAGTATGGGAGACGAGGGAAATTACTTCTATGAGGCACTAGGATTTTTAAAAATTTCTCTATCGGACTCACCATTCAATTTCTCGAAAATTAAAAAAATCAATAATAGCTAAAATGTATTATGCATAACAAATTTTAATGTTACACGGTATTTTTTGAACTTCATGACATGAATTTTCTTTATATTATTTTTTTTGGATTTTCTATGATTTATGCGATAGGCTGGAACAACATTGTAAGTGCAATGATATCATTTATAGAGAAATCTAAAACTTCAGCATTCAGAACTCGCAACCACAAAAATATTCATTTGCTAAGTAAGTAAAGTTGATTAAGTTCGACACTTAGCTTTTATACGTAAAACCAAGTGTGTATTGTTATTTCTTGTTAAATTATTGAGAAAAAAATAAATTGTAAGAGAAACGATACTGATTATTGAAATAATATTGAGGGTAGCTGCAGATTTCTTCATTAACATGCCGGAAATTTGTTAATCTTGGTTTTCTATCATAAAATCTGTCGAAGAATCTAAAAACGGAGATATGAAATAGAGATCATGTAAATCTAGAGTATCCTGTCAGAAAAATAGACTAAGCATGTAACCCTTTTTTGGTCATAAACACTTTTTACCACTTAGTCATACAGATGATCATTAAATTTAAACGAGCACTTTTTGTCAGAATTTATTCTTTTACAAAGACAGAAGATTTTAGTATTATTTAATATTAGTGCTGTAGCAAAATTCAAAAAACGGTGAAAATTCAGTGAATTTGTGAATTCACATTTTTTTTTCGACATTTTTCTTGATATATCCATGCACATTAAGAACACAGCTTTGATACGCTTAAAAAAGCATATTTCATATGAAATTGTTAAAGAAATAAACAATTTATATAAAAATTGCACTTATGGGCAGTTTAGATATATAATTTATATATAACATATATACAAATCCATAGACAAAGTGCAATAACTACAATGTTGTAGAAAATTACAGCAGAAATACTGACTTTTTGAAGGATAATAAGAATTCTTCTAAATGTTGTATTTTTATAATTTGATTGATTTTTTTACTATTTCATTAATCTTTTATGAATAATAATTATTTTTAATATATGTGCTATTAAAATTTCAAATTTTGACTAATATATCTAAGTTATCTGAACGAAACATTTAGAAAATATCATACTTACATTGAAATAGCAAGTAGAGCATATTAATAGCAAGTTTCTTGGCTTTATATCTATCATCTATTGTTGTTTGATCAAACAAAATTCACTCTATTATATGGTGTCAATTAATTAAAACAATTTTTATAGTTATTTATTTAGTGCGAATAAGTGCAAACTCACAAATGAATAACTTAATAGTAGAAATGAATTATCTGATATAAATCTCACATTTTGTCCATCAGAAATACTTTAATTGCATACGCATAACTATTAGTAATACGTCTGGAGTGTCAATTAATAACAATCCCACAACAAGTAAAATTCAGATTTTTATTAAACTTATTTTTTCCTAAAAGTTTTCTCAAATTACTATATATACATATGTGGATAAAATAATAGTAATATTGTAAAAAATTAGATAATTTTTTTTATTTGAGAACCTCTCAAAAGTTCATTCAATTTATCAATTGTTTCAGTTTGATGTATATTCATTTCTGGAGCCTAAAACTCTAGCAATCATGACAATATCATATTCTCTTTCTAACTACGCAATGTAAGGGTATCCTTAACAACGTTTATTTTTTGTTGAACATTTTCACTTTCATTTATTTCTTCCTCCTCTGTTTTATTTATTTTTAAAATCTGTTTCATTTATCATTAAATAAAAATTAGAATATAAGTGATGAAATATATTTTTTTAATTAATATTAAATCAGAAATGGCGGCAGGATTCTTTAAAAAATTATGGGATGGAATTAAGAAAGCTGCGGGTTGGGTTTATAAAAAGATTATTAAACCCGTTGCAAACTTTTTGGCACCAGTAGCGAAAACGGCAGGAACTATCATAGGTGGAGTATTAGGTACTAAAGCAGGTAATCCGGCGATGGGAGCACAAGCAGGTAACGCAGTTGGTGGAATTGCTGAAGGAATACTTAATAAAATAGGAGGTAGATAGTGGAAAAATAAATATGAGATCCTATGGATCATCTCACCGCTTAGCGGCTTAAAATTATTTTTATCTTAGTATCGGTTGTAGTCTTTGATAAACTTTTTCTCCTTTATTTAAAACTTCTCTTATTGGGGCAGCTTTTGGTGTTATTGATTCAGCAACGTCACTAATTGCTTCTTTATTCTTAAATATCCAATTTGCCCCCTTCTTCAATGTTTCCCAAACTTTACTCGCTCCTCTTTTTACTCTATCCCACAGTTTCTTAAATATACCTGCAGCCATAGTTGATTATTTCATTAAAATTAAAAATTCATTTTCATCTTTTAATTTTGATTTTTTTTATTAATAAATGACGACTAACTATTTGGTGCCAAACACTAAACCGATTAATGGAAATGTATTTCATTCATTCGAAAAGATAAATGAAATATTCGCAAAGAATGACGGTAGAAGATATTATAGAGAACTTGAAAGTTCATGCTATGACTCTGATGCTCCATATTTTGATGATAAACAAACTCATTTAAGAATTACAAATCCGGCTCATGATGTGAACCAATTAGGTGACACATATATTAAACGCAAAGTTAAAGCAACTCTAGTTTCAAATAAAGCTTTCACATGTGATGCCGCTTTTAAATGCATGCGTTTATTCGTTGGTTACAAATCATCAAATCAAAGCTTTAAACAATTAGAAGTAGAAACCGAAAGAGGTGATGCCGGTTATCTTCAGATGGATTGCGCCCGTGAATCTTTCGCATTTGCAACATATAAACCAAAATCAGAAAGGAAAGTTAAAAAGTTTGTTCATTCGTTATATAATAATGTTCAAAAAATGATAACTCAGTATGTGGTAAATATATTGACCCTTCAGAAGTTTTCAAGAAAGCAAATGAAGAAGTTGATGTCACTTTTGATATGATTATTCCGGTAAATGATTTGTTAGCATTTCAGGCGTTCGATGATTATCCTAAATCATTTGGTGATATCATTCTTAAATATTATGTTTTCAGGGATACTTTAGTATTTTGTCAGGTTGACCCGTTAAGAGTTGCTGATTTACAAAATTACGTTTATGAAAAGATAACTGATGAAAATTATGAAAAGATTATGAATCATGTTTATAAATATGATCGCAAATTCCAACAAATCGGACTTCCTGCCAAATTAATTACAAGCTTAGCCGCTACATCTGCTGACGCAACAGTTGATGACGTTATTATTTCATGCACAAAGATGGAAGTTTTAGAGGATAAATGCATTACACCAGGATACGGTTTAATTGAAGAATCAGTTAAAGCAATACCACGTTTATTCAGTAAGGAAGATCCATTCATGATTCCAGCTCAACATATTGACGTTCGTTCACTAAATGGAGGTTGCATCACTCCTGAAGGTATTAGCTCAGATTTCTCATACGCTCTTCATAATGTTTCAGATGTTGTGTTAACATTTCCGAAGAATGCAATGCAAAAACAGTTTTAGAAAATCCAATGCTTCGAGGTCTTCAGGTCACTATAGATTCCAGAAACTTCCCCGATCAAGCGATGACCACAGTGGGTGACATATTCTTTACACGTATGCTTCAAGCTTCTGATTTAGATGGAGTGAATGAATGCACAGAAGAATACGAGGACTCATTAACTAGACCACTGAATGCAGATGATGGCACGCCATTAGCTAGAACATGGAAAGACCAAACTTCATTCTTATGCACTATTCCAGTTCAACGTGATGGAGCGGGTATATTCTTTGATGGATTAGAAACTTTCAACTCACAAGTTACAGTACAAGTGAAAGCTTATCCAATCATTCAGGGTGAAAATGACACTTACTGTTCAAAGGTGACAAATCCTCCTCAGGTTTGGTTTACTAGGACTACATATTGGACATGGACACCGGATGAAGGTTTGAAATATCATCCAACAGGTACACCACCACAGTATAGAAGTTCATATGATGAAATATTGATGAATAGAAATGTTTAAAATTATAAATTTATTTTTGATTAAATGGATTTAAATTCATACACTCCTTATGAAGAATTAGCAGGAGTATATAATACATACATAGATGATATGATTAATGAAGCATTGAGTGATAATAGAAATGCTCTATCTAAGGAAAAATTAATGAAAATTACATATTCTGAATGTTACTTAAATTCAATCACTGCAGCAATTGGTAAACAAAATAAAGGTAAAACATTAACGATATTAAAACAAATTATCATTATTGCTAACACTTCCCCCTATTCACATGTGTTAATTTATATCAACCGTTCAGGTTCACCTTCAGATGATACATTTGAATCTTTAAAGCATTTAATCAAAATTCCAATTATTTATTTATCACAAGAAGAAGCAGAAGATTATTTAAAAAACTTTTAATGTATAAAGAATTATATAATACAATCAAGAAGCAAGGATTAGAGGATAAAATTATTGATAAACAACGGGATGAATTATTTGAAACACTTTCTATTTCAAATTTTGATAGAGAATTTTTGCATTCACTCATTTTTCTAGATGATGCAGTGAAATCAAAACTAATAACAAATGAGAAATCATATTTTAATCAGTTATTAACTCAATGTCGACACATTCAGTGTTCATTCTTCATGGCTGTTCAATACTTCAAAGCATTAAGCACAAACATTAAATCAAATCTATCAACCCTTTTCATTTTCAGTGGGTTTAGTCGTCAACAGTTGAACGTTATGCTTTATCAAGTGAATTTACCAATGAGCATTAATGAACTTTACACACAATATCAGCAATTAGGTGAACATGGAAAAATAATAGTTGATTTAAATAAAGGAGGTGTTAAATTTGATTAACTTTTTATAATTAATTTTTATTTTTTATTTATAATTAAACATGACAGAAATAGCAAATCTTCTACAGGTTCCATTAAAACAAGGAACAAACAAAAAGGGTGCATATAATAGAACTATGAAAGTTCCTGATGGAATGAAAGAATTAGTTCATATTGTTGCTGGTCTTCAAAAAGATGTTAAACAAATGAGAAACGTTTTAACATTACCAGAAGCTCAAGCATATGCCAAACGTCAAGGTCCAAATTGGGAAGCACACGAAGCAGATATTACGGGTCCAAATGGAAAACCTGATGGTATAAATGAAGTTTTCATTACTGATGGTCAAGGAAATATTAAAGTCATAAATGGTTACAAATTAACTATAACTGATTATCCTAAACGTAAAGCATATAATGAACGTTATCCTATGCAATTTGATGAAAATGGAAAAGCTGTTAAACAATACATTGGAGAAGGTGAAGATGGTCCAATTAATTCATACCGTCATAATCCATATTCTTATTTCAATGAAGAATTAAATGCTATTGAAGAGGGACCGGATGGATTCCCACAATATTCTAACAAGTTTGATGGTCAATATGCAAATATTAGACCTGAAATTTCAGCTAAGAAATTCTTTAAAGTTGCTTTATTCGATCCAGTTTTCGCAAATGTTAAAGATGAACTTAAACAGCAATTCCAACCAATTATAGTAGCAAGAATTGCATCAGGTGCTTTATCTCAAGCATTCAAAGATTTAATTAAGAAACCATTATATCAGCAACGAGGTTTAACTTATGATTTAGTTAAGGAGTCAGATAAAAGAAAATTTGAGAAATCAGATGATTATAAGAATGCAATTAATGAATATATTAGGTCTATTAATTACAATGAACCAGCTAAAAATCAACTTCAAGAACAAATACAGGGAATAATAGATTCAAAACTTCCAGCAAAATAAAAGTTTAAATATATTTTTTTATTCGATTATAAATGAGAAGACGTTTCACTAGTCAAAAGAACACTAACGCAAAAGCAGAGATTACGGTTGGTTATAACGTAAATGATGATAAATCACGAATTATTCAAAATGTTAAAGTTAATGTTACCCCTGAATTAACAAGGTCAGCAACTCAACCAAATTTATTAACTCGTGACTTACCGAAGAATGAGGAGAATGAAGAAAACCATGAGAATGGAGACCCAATCATTTTATCTGAACCCGGTAAAGAACCTGTTGAAATTCCCACTTATCCAACATACCCAGCACCACTTGATAACCCATATAAAATAGACATTAATTCTGAATTAATGAAAATTTACCGTGATATAATAATTAATAATTATGATTCAATAATAAATCTAATTGATCAATCCGGTTTAATTATTTTACCTTATGAATCATTAATTCACATTATCGCCATTCTTTGTGATGTTCAAGATTCAGACGTTAAGATTCAATTTTTCATAGATGATGAGGTTTCATGCTGCGGAACAGTTGCAAAAATAAATCCTATAAAGGATATTAGCACAATTAAGATATCAAAGAACGGAACAACAACTGAACTTCATTTAACATATAATGATATTTATAATAAAATAGTTGATGAATATAAAATATCACTTGAAAAATTCTTTGTTAAGGCTATTTAATATTCAAGCATTAACATTATCGAATAATAATCCTTTGAATCATAATCAATAATAATTGACCTTTCACCAGTTTCTATCGTTTGTTTTATTTCTTTTTGTTCCCCACTATCCGGATCGGTCATTGTAATTGTTTTTGTTATAGTATCAGCTTTATCTTTAACTTCAATCTTTTTTCCATCGGGATATTTAAACCAAAATTCCAAAAATTCGATATTGTCAATCTGTTCATATTTTAATCTATCAATTACATTTTTAATACCATCTGAAAATCTTATGAAATGGTCATTATATGGGTTTGATTGAACTAAATTTGAATGAAGTGAAATATAACCAGTTGATGAATATGACACTGACTCATATTTTCTGAAAACACTAAAATTTATAACATGAATGAATTTCTTATTCGTTGAATTTATGAATTCTTGAGGTAATCTTATTCTAGTTTTATTTATCACTGGAAAATAACGCTTTACCATATTTTTAATCGTAATAAAAAATGTCAATTATCAATATTATTTCGAATAATAACTGTGAATTAAATTTAACAGTTAGCGGAATTTATAATGTTACTCTCGTTTCTGTGAGTGGTAAATTTAATCCCATTCTTTTAGACCCTTCAGATTATATATCATTTATTAAAGATGACCTTGCAAAAACGTATGATATGTATATAAATAATGTGATAGCGAAATGGGATATTAACATGATTTTAAGTTATTTAAATGAATCATTTATCGTATGGTATGAAGAAAATTTTAAATCAAAACCCGATAAACTTTTTGAACTTGATGAAATAAATAACCTTATTAAATTCCCGCTGAAAATTAAATTTTGTACTCCTCATCTTCGTTCATTGTTGGGGATATTAAATTTTGAAAAAGATGTTGGGGATGTTTTGTATTCTGACACTGGTTCCAATTTCATTTTAATCAAATGTGATAAAGTTAATACCCCAATGAGATTTTCACATCAAACATTAGACCCTAACTCTTACCCATCAATACAAAACATTTTATCCATCAACTTAAACACATTTTCTTTATCATATCCGTTTCAATTATCCGGGAATTCATTTATTCTTCATTCAAAAGATTTATCAAATATTAAATTTAGAATAACTGACCTATTGTGATTTAGAATTTATGAATGAAATATTATGGCAATTTCAAATAGAGAAAATAGCTGATGAGATAACGGATTAAATATTTATTTTTAAATCGTAATAAATGATTAAACAACAGCAACTTAAGGCGCAAAGCGCCCAGGTCCTTCAGACCATTACATACGCCACATATGCATATAATTCAAAGACGGCAGAACAAACGCAAAGGTTGAAATATGGAGATTTGGAGATAATATTGAAAAATGACCATTTCGAATTCGTTTGCAAAGGTGGTGCAGTGATATCAAATATAAAAGAAATTTTATTTATGAATTCAAAAATTAAAGGAATAACGGATGATATAACATCAATTCCACCAGAAGAACAGAGATATTACGCATTAAATGCATTTCCTAAAGTTTTGAAGATTGGAAGATTTAATTTAAATGAGGAATTCATAGAAGGTTTCCTAAATGACATAATGAAGAAGGTGGATAAGGAATATGTGGATAGTGAGTTAATGAAGAAAGCAGATAAGGAATACGTTAATACTGAATTAAATAAGAAGGCGGATTTAGTTTATGTAAATACCGAGTTAAATAAGAAAGCAGATGTTGATCATACACATGTTCAATTCGATGAATTAAATAACAGAATTAATCAAACAAATGCAACAGTTAAAAGTAATTATGATAATTTAAATTTCAGAGTTAATGAAAATTCAAGAGTAATTAATCAAAAAGCATTTAAAAGTTATGTTGACCAGAGTTAGTATCCCTAACTTGGGTACTGAGGCACTGCGCGCCTCCGTATACCACTTAACCTTAAATATTTACAAAACCGGTAACGTATATTTTACAACACAAACACAAACACCAACTTAACCTTAAATATTTACAAAACCATCTGATACATAAACGACTTCACTAACGACTTCACTACCGTCCTCACTAAATAAAAATAACCTTATTTTTATTTTTTTAAATTTTTTATTTCATTACAAAGACATGTCCGACTACATTTACTATGACTCTTTCCCAGAACGTTTCCGTGAACTATTCAAACTCAAGTAAAACTGAGAAACATGCATTTTAACAAAGACAGACCCATTGACGATGAAAGAAACCCTGAATATATTACAATCCCATATGACGCAAAGTTCATTGCATACATTCCTTATGGTCGCAGAGGAACGAAAACTATTTCAACAATGACGAAAAATTATTTCTGGAGCGATGAAGAAAATTGCCTTATCTACATAAATGCATACTTAAATAAAGCTACATATTGTACAAAAGAAGGTTGGACTGGATTTGAGCTCTACATATACGACGACGATGGAAACAGACGTTGTGTATACCCATACGATAATATGTACCATTGTTTTCATCAAGCATTAAACGAATACATAGTCAGTAAGGGTCTCATTCCTGCTGAGTAGAAATGTTATATTTTTGTTCTGTCATTTATATAAAAATAAACGTTCTCGCTAAATAATAAAATAAACTTAAAAATAAACGTTGTCAGAGGTGAAAAAATAAATTTAGGTGAAGTGGTGAAATCTCACCTCTTTTTTCACCTCTTTTTTCACCCTAGCCGCAAAGCGGCTCTGACCCTTTGGGTCTGTTGAATTCATTGCTTTATAACTCTCTTCCTTGGTTTCTTTTTAGTTGCTTTCTTCACGTCTGTCTCCAACTTGACTGTCTTTCTTCTTCGTCCGTAATGATACCAGTTACTTCCACCAGTCAATGGGTCAAATGGTCTTTCGTAAGGGTTTCCATACATTCCATAGGGACCATACGGAAGAACTGCTGGTGGAAGTTGTGGAGGAAGAGTTCCATCGACTCTATTTAAATGCATTGTTTCACCTTTCATCTGGTCATTAAAGTCTTTTGCGTGTTTTGAAAACTCATCGTCCTTTCCTAAAGCATTTTCCGACTCAGTCGCAACCAAATTGGATGCTTTATTTATGAGCCCTATTTTATTTAATCTTAACTTCTTTGCAACCCAGCCTCCAATCTTCCTTTATTTGCATCTAATGTCTTCGAAACCCTTCCTCCACTCATTTTATTTACTGCGTCATAAGCCCAAGTGCTTTTGCTCCAAATGCTAATGCTTTTGTTCCCATTGCGCCTAAAGCTGCCCAAGCTACCATTTACACCATATTAAAATCATCTCTCTTCAATATTATCTCATAAAAGTTCTCGTTACTGGAGAAAGTCAATGAAACATAAACATTCTCACGGGCTTCGCCCTCACCGCTTTGCGGTCTATCTAACTTCTTTCTTATCTCATCTATTCGCTTCAAAATGTCTGAACAATTGCTAACATCTTCTACAACAGTTATTTCATCATGAATGACCTTCAAGAACAAGCTCATTTAATATGCTATTAAAATCATCTCAATAATGAGTCCATCCTTTCCATCTTTAGGTAGCACAACATCTTTCATTGAAGAAGGTTCGACAAGTCTTATGTTAAACTTACTGACAAAGTTTGTTATACTATAATGCTTCGGTGGCGAATACATATAGTTTGAAAGACATAATATAGATTCTTCAGCAAATTCACTTATACTGGATTTTATAACAATGTTCTCACGAGACCAAATACCACCAATTGACAATCTTGTAAGCAATCCTGCTGAACCTTCTACTGTAAACGTCGATGGTAACATTCCACGAAGGTCATCTATTGACATCGTTGAGTCACTGAATTTAAATATTTTCTTAAAGCAATCGTCATTATCTAACCATGCAATAGCTTTGAAGTTTTCATTCGAATATACATCTGCTTCATTAAATGTAAAACCTGACTTCTTTGCAGAGACGACTTTAAAATCTATTGCATTTGTTTCAAAATTATACGCTATGGTAACTTCTGAAGGTAATGGGTGTCCTTCCGCAGTCAGTTGTTCTCTCACTACCGTTTGAAGCTTTGTGTTAAAAACTTTCATGTCATCTCCTGTGTCTAGGTTCACATACACAGCAATAGGAAAACTATCTTGCTTCTTTGTCTCATCATTATCTCAAAACATTAAAGTTCTTCAATAATATTGTCCTTCCTGCTGGAATACTTCTAACTTGTCTTATTTCAATAGCTTTCTCACCTCCTACATACTCTACCCAGTGTCTTGGATATTCATAAGTATACTGACTTTCTTGAATTTTGGTTGGTTTCATCATAACGTGTTCATAGTATATCTT